CCTCTCTTGTGTCTCTACCTCTTATTCCAAAGGATCAGGGTCCCCCCACTGTGGGGGTTGCTGCAGGTGGGGGACCTTCCCCCCAGGCCTGGCTTGTGCTCTTTGCTGGTCTCCCAGCCCCTGAGAGGCCCAGGCATCCTGGTCACCTCAAGGCCCTCACCCAGTCAGATGCGCAGATGCATCTGGTACTCTCTGCCTTCCTTGTGGGCAGTTCCAGGTGCCCTGGTCCCCTCATCCTCTGTGACTCCTGTCCACGGCGCCAGAAGCTCCTGCTCAGGACCTGCCACCAGGTGGAGCTGAGCCCCATGATCCGCAGTCCCCACAGCAGGGTCCTGGGCTGGACAGAGGCTCTGCCATGGAACATAGCTCATTTGCTCCAACCTCCTCACTGACAGAGGCAGGGTCTGGGGACCAGAGAGGGGAAAGGGGTGCAAGGTCATTTCCAGGACCAGGAGAGGCTGTGAGTACTGGGCACAGCAGCTATACCCTGCAGGATGCTCAGGGGGAACTCTGTGGGGCAGGAGCAGGGAGGCCAGGCAGGGCCCATGGCACAGGGCAGCTGCTCTCCTCGGCTACTGATGGGACAACCGAAGCACAGGGATGCAGCATGCTGGGTGGGACACCTGTCCTCCTGGTGTGTGTGACTTGGGAGAAGCCAACACTCCCTGGCCTTGCTCTCCACGCCTAGGAAATTGGGTCTCTGGCTGCAGTTGTCTCCCACTCTTGGGCACAGTTAAATGGGGCAGGAGTAATCCTGTGGGGTCCAGCAGGCTCAAGAAAGAGAAAGAAACAAAGCTGGAGCTGGGGGCAGGAATGGCAGAGGAAGACAGAGGCTTTCACAGAGAGAATGAAAGAGAGTTATTCTAGCATGGGGAGCCTGGCAAAACTCCACTGAATGTTTAAACAACCCTGTCAATTATTCATCTCCCGGTATGAGGTCCGCTGGTCTGCTGCAGATCTCCTCTGAACAGGGGAGGAAGGGAGAGGAAGGAGGCAGGGAGGAAGGGAGAGAGGGAGAGGGAGAGGGAGAGGGAGAGAGACAGACAGACAGAAAAATATACACAATGAGAGAGAGAGAGAGAGAGAAGGAAGAGGGTGTGTGTGCATGCACATGTGCGTGACAACCCCATGCTTGACTTTCTGGGCTGGAAGCAGGACTGAAACACACCTACTTGGGTCCTTGTGCTTGCATAGCAGGTGGCGAAACCACTGAGCTAAATCCCTGGCCCAGAAACACACTTCTTGAACAGCCACTGAGCACCTCTGCCTCAGTTCATTCAATGCACAACCCACTTTTTCTCCAGGAAGCCTTCCTGCCTCCCTAACTACGGGAGGCTTACCAGGTGTCTCCAGCCACGTGGGTGCACGTGGCAGTTAGGAAGACACTGTCCCCATCCTGGCCCCTCACCTGCTCATGTGTCACCAGATCTTTCCTGTGAGTCTAGACTGGGCCCCTAGTCGTCTGGGAGACATGGCAGTTTCTACTTCTTAGGGACTCTTCAGGATCATCCTGCCCTCTTCCTTGTGCTATGAGGCACAGGGCCGGGCATCAGAAGGCAGGGCGGTCTGGTTTTCTCCATACCTGGAGCGATGGGGAAACCGGGGATGTGGGGGGGTGGGTAAGTGGGAGGGGGGATCTCATAAGCCTCTGTGAGTGAGCCCCTCAGCTCACCTGCCGCAGTGCTGGTGTAGGAAGACAGGAAGTGGCTCAGCAGGAGGGGCCTCAGTGTGTCTAGGGGTGAAGGGTTGTTTGAAGAGCTGCCACATTTAGGATGACCCAAATCTCCCCTTCACACTCACTCAGCTGCCACCTCTTCAGGGCGGATGTCCTGAGCTGCTCAGAAGGGAGGTGCATGCCACCCCTTAGTTCTCGGAGCCTGGTGCCCACACTTGACCTTGGTGGGCCTGTCCTGGGCCCCTGCGTAGCACCACGGGACAAAATAGTACTCAAAAGGCCTGGGGCAAAGACAGGTGTCGAAAGACAGGAAGAAATAGCTGAGTTTGGCAGGGAGCCCGGGTTGGCTTGGTGGCCTGTGGGTGAGGGATGGGCAGACCCGGAGTCTCGGCACAGAGAGGCAAAGATGGGTCCCCTCTGCTGCCCCGCAAAGTGCTTCGTTCTCCACAAAATGTTCATTTCCTGCTAAGCTGAAATAGGCTCTGTAGGGAAACAGAGAGCCACGGCTCCCTACGCCCTGGGATATGCAGGTTAGACAGAGACCAGTACTGGGGAGTCAGAGACACTACAGGCTCATCACGAGGCCATGGCCAAGAGCAGAGAGTGCCTGGGCTCACTCACGGTCACTACCCACTCCTGTATGTCTCGCTCGGCAGGGCTTCCCCTGCAGGCTCTGCTATGTGACCACCCCCAGAGACACGTCGGGAGCCACAGGCTTGTGGCAGAGCCACACTGCTCAGATGGGTCCTGGCTCCTCTGGAATCTTCCACCACTCTGTAAATCTGTCCATGGCTCACACCAAGCTCTGCACCCCTCCTCACTCTGTCCCACGGTCATAGTCTCCTGCACTGCCATGCTGTGTGACATGGTCCTACACTATTATGTGACTTCTGTGCTCCTGTGCTCCTGGCCACATTCTGTTGCTTGTCACTCTGCCTCTTGGTTGCAGGAGTACAGGCATTGCTATGTAATTTTGTTTCGTTGCTATGGCACAGTGACCCATGGCTGCGCAGCCACCTGTGATTGTCGAGGAGCTGTACATGGTTGCTACCCGCCCACATGCTACTCCTGTAACAGGCTCAGCTGGCCCTGCAGATGGATGTGTGTGTCTGGGTCCTGGCCTGGTCCTTTTGGGCTCTGGTCAGCAGATGGGAGCTGATGTCCAGGACCTAGCAAGGGCACAGTGTTGGGTGGGACAGTGTGGGGAATGAATTGGGGATGGGAAAGTGAACAAAGGATGGAACTGAGAGTTGGGAACCAGGAGGAGAGGAAGGGACAGAGTGGGCCTGGATCAGACAGGGATGGGCAAGGATGGGGCAGCTACTGACTGGAACACTGTGTGTGTGTCTGAGGCACCTGATAGTGACTGCAGCAGGGTCTGGAGCCGTCCAGGGCTTCCTGGGCTGGATGCAAAGCAGCATGGGAGGGTGAGGTCAGGAAGCCCAGAGCAGGTGTCACCTCACGGCCACCTCAGAGGAGAGGGTGTGGGAGTAGGTTCTCCCTTCTGATGCCCTTGCTGTCCGGCCAGGGGTTCTGTGGCATTGCCTCACAAGCATTTTCCAGAGTCTGTGTGGGGCCAGGTATGCACAGGGCCCAGGAGCCCAGAGAGGGGACAGGCACTGTGTGCATGAGTTCAGGGCTGGATGGCAGCAGCTGGGGGACACAAGCCAACAATGAAACAGCAGCCAATCTTTAGGGCTTTGCCAGGTGTCCAGCAAGAAAGAGGGAGGAAGGACAGGGGACCACCCTCTGGATGCATGGCCCACAGGTAGGAGTGCTGGGTGACATAGAGGGTGGGCATGCTGGGGTACTCGCCATGGGACCCAACTCAGTCTGCAGGGATGGGGCGACCCGAGCCTCCCAGAATTCTGTCCTGAGGTCTGAAGCCACTTATCCCCCACTCTGTCACTCCCAGGGGTTTCTCTTGCTTAAAGACAAGCCCTGCTCGCTCCCAACCTTGGCATCCCTGGGCACAGTCCAGTCCCCTCTTGTCGAGGTTAATCCTTAAGAGACTGATGTGCACTCCCTGTGTGATCATACCATTCTTTCAGACATTTAAAAGCATGTCCACATTGCCCACCCATCACATCCATCCTGTATCTGCAGGCGTTTTCCTCCCCAGCTCTGTTTTTCCCTCCCTCCTGCTTCCATTATTATTCTCCTCACGTTTGATAAACACAGCATGAGTCCAGCCAGCCCATTCCCCCAAACCAATCTATAGTATCGAATTGTCTGTAGCTGATGTCTCCTGCATAATCCAGGCCCCCAGACCTGTGGCCTGCTGCCCCCCAAAATGCTTCGTTCTCCACAAAATGTTCATTTCCTGCTAAGCTGAAATAGGCTCTGGAGGGAATCAGAGACGCACAGCCTGGACCTTTACCCAGAAGACACCAGGCCAGGGAACCCAACTGGAGGGAGCTGCAGAAATGTCCTGAGAGAGCTGTGGCTGCCACAGAAGGCAGTGGAGACGAGGTCACTCAGTAGGGGCATCCCCAGGCTCACCCAGCAGTAGTCATCCTTCCTATATGTGTAACGGTGCATGTCCCAGAAGGGTGCAGAGGTGCACGGGTGGGTGAGGAGGCTATTGGGAGTCAGGGACAGGTCCTGGAACAAAGAGGACCCAGGCTTCCTTTGGGCTGGTGGCCTTGTCTGGGGAACTGTCCTCAGGGTCTTCTGGAGCAGTGTTCCCCATGGGACCCACTAGGGAGGAAGGGAGGAAGCCATGGGTGGAGTCCTCCAGGGTCACCAGGTGCCACCTCCACTGGAGACTTGGGGCTATCATTTGGGCAGCCTGTTCTTTAGCTTTCTGCACCAGGGGGCTGAGACTCAGTGGTGACCCCTCTACACGCCAGCTCCCATGATCAACAACATGGGAAATGTTGTCCTCTTTTCTGTCAGCCCAACGTCTTCTCTTACCAGTTGCAGACCATCTCTGAAGTGCTTCCCATGACCCAGTGGACATGCTCCCAAGGGATTTGGGACAGTGCTATAGGGGCTTGTCCCCAAAGAAGCCCCATGAGAGTCCCATTTGAAAGAGGAAGAATGTAAATGAGTGTGGTGGGGCACACTCCTAAACCCAGCACTCGGGAGGCTGAGGCAGAAGGATTGCTACAGTTTGAGGCCAGTCTGGGCTACATAGTGAGTTCAAGGCCAGCCTGGATGACACAGCAAGACCCTATCTCAAAAACCAAAACTGAGAAAATAAAAAAAAAAGAAAAAGGAAAGACCCCTGCCTTCCATCACTTTCAGAGTGCACCCATCTCATAGGTGGCCCCCAGCCACCTTCACCAAGGCTCCTATGGCTGCTAGGGGTGGGGGCACTCACCATGTCATGTGACGTGGTCTCTGGCATCTGAGGCTCCTCCTCTGCTTCCTGAGAGGTGGACGTGCTGGAGTCCATTGAGCTCATGGTGGCCCTGGACCAGGACTCACGGATGGTACCCAGCTTCTCATCTAGGATCTTGGGGTCCAGGGTGGGTAGAGTCTTGCTGTTGTTGGGTGTCAAGAAGTTTTCTGGCCTCTGAGAAGATGGAGAGGAACTTTGGCTGGGCCCTTTCTCTGTGCCTCTTGACACCCCAAGCCTCACATCCTTGTAGCTCAGGATGCCTGGTTTCTGTCTACCTCTTACCACTGCCCCCACCCCACCTCTGTCTTGCTGGTTGGACACTGGTCACACTGTCTTGCTGTTCCTCCAACAAGCCAAGCTCTTCCCTGCCTCAGGGCCTTTGCATCTGCTGCTCTCTACCTGGAAGGCCTTGTGGAACTTATACACTGTCCTCATTGTCCAGACCTCAGCACAGACACCATCTTCTCTGAGAAGCCCTGCCCATGGAGAGACATAGACCCCCACTCTACCGAAAGTAACCCTACTCCCAGAGTACTCTATTCATAGCATCCCATTTTATTGTGCTCATAGAACTTATTCTACCAGAAAACTAACTTTCAAAATATGGTTTACTTGTTAACTGCCTGCCCCCTCTGCACCTGCAATGCCCAGACTATGATGTAAGTTCCATGTAAGCAAGGACACTGTTTATCTGAGGTCCAGCTCATGGTAGCTGCTCGGTAAACATATATAGGTGCTCAATAAGTTTGCCTCCCAGAACTCCCTCCCAGTGTAGTAACAGCTCCCCAAATCCCCACTCTGTGGGCAGCCTTTGCTATGTAGACTTGTTTCCCTTTGATCTCCTCTCTCATCCTCGAATCTTGTCCAAACTCTGATCCTACTCAGACCCCTTCCCAGGAAGCCTTCACGCTTCAGCCTACTGTTGCATGTAGTTTTTCTGGGTGATTCCAGTCCAGCATCGCTCTGTCTGTGCTTTTACATTGCTCTTTAATCCTAGACTTGCTTGCTATTTTTGTTTTTCTAACAAAACTGTAAGTTTCTGGGATTTAGGGGCATACTCGTGCTCCCTCTGGAGAGAGGTGGCTGTAAAGTTTGCTTGATATCCATGGTTAGTTCTAAAATCTGCCACTGTTTAAAAACCATGCAGTCTCAGCCTTTGTAGGGGTCTCAAAGGTGATTCAGTCCCACCTCCCATCAGCTGTTGGAACCCTCCCTTGGCCACACAGCACACACTTCATCCCACGTCTAGAGTGCTGTGCTAGACCAAGGACAGCAAGGGCCACAGTGGCAACCAGGATAGGTGTGCTCAGTCAGGGTTGGAGGTGCCCCAGTGTCTGACTCTGAACCACCAGAGATTGAGTGAGGGCAGAGGACCTCTCTCTACCTGGACATTTATCTGCACATATGAATTTGGTGAATTGGGACAAGAGCTCTTCACTTTACCACTGAGATCCTCTAATTAATTCCTTTATGTGCTCTGAAATCTGGTGTGCAGAAATGCATGAACATGGAGTCTGTTCAGGTTTGGGTTAGTAGAATAAGGGACAGGCATACAAGAACAAGGAATCATTCAGTCCATGCTGGGTCACCATTTCTGTGGGTCCCTGTCACATGGGGATGGAAATAGAGCAAAGAGAAGGCAGCTATGAAAAGACTCCGGGAATGGGAAGAGGGAGGCATGGGTGCCTGAGGCTGACTTTGGCAGGCCAGCTACTGCCTGTCCTAACCAAGACTCTGGGAGCCTTTCATCCAAGTGCGCCAGGTCTGGCTCTTTCCCTCTTGCTCCTCTTGGTAGCTGAGGGTTAGAGGGGGCAGGATTTACTCAGAGGCTTCCAAGGGCATGAAGCCTTCTATCGCCTGAGTACACCCAGTTCAGCATCTGCATCATCACACAGGTTGGGTTTCCTGTGTGTTTTAGTCAGGAAATAGTACACATCTGTCTCCCACTCAGAACTGCTGAATACCAGACTAGGGCAGAGGGACAGCTATGATATTCTTATTGGATGGATAGATGGATGAAGGAATGAAGGAAAGAATAAGCCAGGGCAAAGACTGCCTCCTCATTGACCAGGTGGCCCCTGGGGTGGGGGTGAGATGCTGATTCAGGACCTGTAATGATATTTCTTCTCATTTCCAGGCAGAAAGCCAATCTCAGTGCCCTGGATTTCATAGACTGCCATCTAATCCAGTTAGGGGAGGAAGTAGAAGTAATGAAATCAAGGGAGGCCTCCAGAGGTGGCCCCATCAGTTCTGAAAGCAGGGACAATTGTTGAGGGAGTCCCCTCCCCCACAGCCAGGTTCCCTGATGTCCACTCTGCATGGCTCAGGGCTCAGGGACCCAGAGCTGATCTTTACCAAGTCCCTGGTCAGAGCCAGGCACTTGTCAAGTACTTTCATGTATAATCCATTACATTTTGTCACAAAGCTGAATTAAAAATGAGACCAACCCCTCAGTGCAGATCAGAGCCTTCACCCCATCAGCTTCTGGAGGGCAGGGGGTACCTGAGGAGGGGGGAAGGCAAGTCAGAGTGTCCGTGGGCTTCCTGTCTTTCTGCTCACCCCAACCCATTGACTTCCTGCCACCCTGCCAGGCTCAGGGGCTCTGCTCCTGCCCTCCCTCATCGCTGGCTCTGGCCTGGCTTGCTCGGTGCTGTCACCTTCCACCCCAATGGCCTCCTGTGCACATTTCCAGCCCCATCCCATTCAACTTCGCCAAGATCTGTCCTAGCTTGGAGCTTGAAGATGAGCTGGGTGGATGAGTTTTCTGGAAGCATCTTTATACCTCCAAGCAGCATAGGTCCTGCAGGGCAGGCCAGAGGCAGTTGCTTTCATTATGTGAGGTGCGGGGACCAGGCAGACCACTGAGCCTTTTCCCACAGCCCCCAGATTCTCCCAACAGTTCCCTTTCTTTAGGGACAGCATTGTCTCCCTTGACTACAGCTTCAGTGTGCACACGTTTGGGTAAGAAGCTGACCTGAGACCACAGGGAGAGGCCAGGGTGCTGAAGGGTGAGGAGAGGGGGAGCACTGGAGATGAATCCTCCCAGATAACCCCCATTCCCACCCCCCCCAAGTTTCTTCAGCGCGGTTTGGGATGGTGCTGCTAGCCCACCCCACAAACTTGTTTACTTGCTTGTCTATTTGGCAGATTGTGCCTCTTTTGCTGGGGCACCTTGGGGCTGACAAGTGGCCCCTAGCTCTGGGGCTCCGTGGCTGCAGCACATCCCACTTCATTAGGGTACTAATTGGAGGCTGACTTTGAAAGCTCAAAGCCATGCATAGCCACGTGCTAGCTCAGACTCAGCGCCCTGCCTGCGCTTCCTGTGCTGCTGCAGCTGTCCCCAGACACATGAGCACCGCGGTGGGGAGAAGACACCCCTTTCCCGAGCCTCCTGGCTCTCACCGTTGCCACCAGAGACAGACAAACCAGGCCAATGGCATGCTAGGCTGGCAGTTTTATAAGTCACCTGTCTCCCTCCTCCTCCTCCCGTCCTCAGCCTCTCTCCTTCCTCTTCCATCCCCTAAATCCCTGGTCGTACAAAATGCAACGGCTCCAGCCCGCCCTGGCAATTAGGGAGTGACCAGGCCACAGATGCTGTCCTTAGTGCTGAAACGGCCGCCTTCCGGGCTGCCTGACTCTCGGCCCTCCCTGAGCCTCCTAGCTGGAGAGCACACGCTCTTAATTCAATTAGCTGGCCTTGAACCCTCCCCAGGGAGCCTGGAGCGGAAACTGACAAATTCTGTTTAACAAAGACATTTGTCCCTTGCCCCGCTGGCTTTGGGTTCTGCACTTCTGTATCCCGCTCATTAGGTATCTAACAAAGTGCGTCCCAAGAAATCTGCTTCCAATCGCTAGTAATTCAGGAGGCCTGATGCAATTTTCTCCCTGATAAGGGTGTCTCGCCCACTGGCAAGTGCGGTAATGAGCCCTGTGCAGCGCCTCCCTGATCAGTCACTGCTTTGTCATTTCCTGTGGCCACAGTGGTAGGTTCTTATCTCTTCTGTGGTAGGCGAGACTCAGACAATGGGATCCCTCAAGAGGACTGCGCCCTCCCCTGCATACTGCAAGCTCATTTATAGCATCCTGCATGGTCTCGCAGCTGTGGTGAGTCTGTCTCCCAGCCAAGAAGGACCCAAGTGTTAATTCTCCATGGGACCATCATTTATTTCCTAGAAAAAGGTGTCAGAGGGTTAATCCAAAAGCAAGTTATGGGGCTGGGGAGGGGAGCCACTGATAAAGATTTTGTCAGGAGGTCCGGGGATTTAGCTCTGTGGTTTTGCCGCCTGCTGCCCAAGTGCAAGGACCCGAGTTTGATCTCCGGTACCAAAAAAAAAGATTTTGTCAGGGGTCTTAGGATTAAACAGAGCCTTGAGTATAGCTTTATGGATGTGCTGTGGGCTCTTGTTAGCCTGAAACCCACTCTTTCTGTATTTAATCTTTATTTTCCTTTGGAATTCCCTGAGTCACATCTACAGAGACCTTTACAACCTAGATGTTAGACTACATCCTACTCCTGCTTAAGGACCTTCCTTAGCTTCCCATCACTTTTTGGCAATGTCCAAACCCTATATCCTGGCACCCAGGCCCTCCACAATCTGGGCCCCATCTCTAGTCTCATTGTCCATATGTCCAGGTGCTCCAGACACTGCCATGCCTCTATCTTTGCCATGCACTTTTGCCTGATGCATATTTGCCATCTATTTCCAAGCCACAATAAGGCAGAGCTCAAAGCATGCCTCTTTGTGGTGCTCAGCACACCTGCCTCAACTAGGCTCCTCTTAGCAAGATGGGTGGTGATAATCTGTTGGAGCACAGACAAGGACAGGTCAGGGATCTAATCAATATTTGATGACCTGGTTGGCTGAAGGCAAGTAGGTCTAGGCGAGGGGCAGTCTAGCTTTGAGATGGGGACCCTTCCAAGGCCATCCACCACTTTCTGAGAAAGCTGGTCTGGAAGCTTCTGCCTCACCTCTCTGCTTTCCCTCTCCTTTCTTCCATCTCACAATGATACATTGGGCTCATAAGGAGAGTAGAGCAAGGTGAGTCCAAATGTCCTGTATCTCAGCCATCCCAGCACCTGGACCTTTCTGTGCACTCTCTGGAAGCAAGTTACTGGCTCACGGTCCCAGGCAGCACAGGCTCCTGTGGGGGTTGCAGGTGACATGAGCCTGTACCAGGCCTCTGGAATTCCTAGCAAGTGGAAGCAGCATAGCTTTTGGTCCAGCCTTGCCTGCCTGGTCCAGGAAGCAGGCCTTCATTTCTCCATCTCCTGCATAGTCCCCACCTAGGGGCAGGCTGCTACCCTGGGAACTTCAGCCCATCTGACTTCTGGAAGGATCATTGTCTGTCTCATTCCTATTTCTTCATTCTTTGAAAAATTGCTCAAGACAAAATATAAGGCTGGGAATGTTTATCTCCAGCACTTGACAAGGTCTCCTGATGTCTTTATGGATGCAAAGCCACTGGGCATCTGTCAGGAGGGGCAGGCGCTGAGTGATGGATTAGCAGGGCTCCAGTGTCCCCTCCCCCAGGAGACTGCTCTCATCCCTGATGAGTTTAGCGCATTTGTCAGCAACTTATTATTTTATTTTGGGGGGCAGCACCGGAGATTGAACTCAGGGCTTTTGGTGCACTAGGCAAGCTGGTGGGACACTGTGCTGGGCACAAACCCATGCACCCTCATTCAATTTTCACTGCACCCCTGGCTGTGTGGGATGACTATTCCTTTTAAGGACCAGGAAAGAGGATCTCAGAGTCACCAGGATGATGTGGGAGACACAGTATTCAAGCCCGGGTCTCAGCTTGTGCACTGGGGGTCACTACACACTGAAAGCATCCTGACCATATTGCAGGCAACCTGGAGCTTGGGATGGGGTGCAGGTGGAACCCTGGGTGTGCTGCATGATACAATCAGGGTCCAGACTGACCTCAAGGCTAGAAGATGGGCCAGACTGTTGAAGGTGAAATCCCACAGGGAAGAGAAATCCCATTGGAGCTCAAAACACAGCAGTAGATGTGCAAGGTAAGGACATGCAGCCTTCCTGACATGCCAGAGTTGGACTCCTGCCTCAATGCACCCTCACTGCCTCGCCAAGGACTGAAAACAAACTACAGACTCTGGCTGCACCAAAGTGAGAGTTTGTTTAGAGAGGGGGGGTGATGGTCCTGTTCTACCCACCAGTGCTAATGGGGTCCTATAACTTCTGGGGACTCTTTAAGAGGATTGTTGTCAAGAGGAGACAGCCAGAAGGATGAGAATCAGAACGCTAGTACAAGAAACAGCCACCAGCTTGGATGGGCCTGGATCGGGCTGGGGAGGGCACAGAAGTTTGCAAATATCACCAGGGCTGACATGGGTATAGAAGCTGACCTCCTGGGGACGTCAGCAAGGAGAAGGCAGACCAAGGCAAGCAGCCACATGGAGACAGAAGGAAGAGGCTATAAGAGCACTAATAGAGGTTAAAGAGGCTTTCCCATGAGGTAGTGAGTTCTGTCATGAGAAGCAAGCAAGTAGAGAAGCGCCCTGTGTATGCTTTGGAACGAGTGTCAAACTCTTCCTCTGGTGGGAGGAGTTTCATGATATCCAAGAGACTGTGGAGACCATTATTGTCTTCAAGGCAATGGAGGGGTTCAGGTACTGTGAAAAGCAGACAGGAACTCTGTAAAGTGGGACAATGAGCCCTGCTGCACATGGTAGATCTGTGACCCAAGCCCAGGGTGGCCCTTCCCATCCACGCCTGTCCACAGCTTCCTTCAAGTTGGATGGGAAGATCTCCCAGGTGGAGCTAGAACCTAAGATGGAGGGCACAGGAGCACTTGTGAGCTGGGCGGGGTGTGTGTGTGTGTGTGTGTGTGTGTACAGCTTGCTCGATGTGTGTGACTTTCAAAAAATTCATCAAGCATCATCAAAAGCCAGCATGATTCTGCCTGTCTCTACCTTCCTCCCCTCCATCTGCTAAAGAGCCTGTTGTCCCCACTTTGGGCTGGTCCCCACAGAGAGCTTTGTAGAGAAGGCACCAGGGCAGACTTCCCCACCCCCTTCCAGCCTGGAGAGGAATTAGCTCAGACCATACCATGACAGTCATCCTCCCACAGAAGGGCAGTAGGAGCTGTCACCTCCTCTCCTCAGATGCACTCTTCCATGCCCAAAGTCAAGGAAGCCAGCAGGGTTCAGGTCTTCCCAGTGTCTCCTGGGCTGTAGGCATCAGAGAGGCTGTGTCCTGCCCAGTGCTCTTGCACCCTCCCTGGGTGAGGCAGTGAACCCCAAGTCCCCACAAGGGGAAATGTTGCTGATCACCCAGATGTCCACCTAGACCTGTCTCACCCACAGGAAGCTGGACCTCCAGGCAGGGGCAGGCTTGGACCCAATGAGCACCTACTGTGTGCTCGCCAGCTCCACACCTCAGGGGTCAACCTGGGAAAGCTGCCCAGCCTGCACTGTACTTCAAAGAGGCTGGCTGAGAGCTGGAGGGCACCGAGGGTGCTGCGGGACCTGGTGCCGGTTCATTAAAAGGAGCCAGGCTGCTTAGCCTGGAGAAGCAGAGCTCCAGAGGGAGCATAGCCCACTCTTCAAAGAGAAGGGGCCTGATCAGAAGGGGAAGGGAGAAGACCAAGAGCCAATTCCTGTCTGTGTGCTGAGCGGCCAGAGGCGCCTGGATTTCTGCACCCAAAGGATCTTGTATGCCAATCCATCTGGCTGTGCAAGGAAGAGTTTTCTGTGTGTGTGCAGGTGTGCATGCTTTTCTGGTTTTTACTTATTCTGTGTGTACTGTGTACTTATTCTCTGTGTGTACTTAGTCACGCTGTCACCTCACACACAATGCCAGCTTAAAGAACATCACTCAGCAAGTGCCTACACAGAAGCCCCATCAGATCGTAGAAATAAATCCATCACCAGCAAGCCACCTTCGTGCATGCATCCCAAACCAGAGACTGCACCCTGTCTTTCTGTTAGCTGCTCTACCCATGAACCTGCTTGGTGGCTGGTGCTGTGATGTGCAGCAGGCTGGATGGAGGTGCACTGTAGCCTCACAGTGCAGAGCTTGGAGCCTGGGCAGAGGGAGGATGGGAGGCAGCACGCACTCAATGTGAGGGGAGCAATGTGAAGGTAGTGAGCTCCCTGTTGTGGCACAGCAGGGGGAAAGATCAGGAAGACCACTCAGGTGGACGTGGCCAAGGAGCTGCCTGTCTAGGTGGGATGTTGAAGAGAGCCCTGCAGTCTCTATTTGGAAACCTCACCACGTTCTTGTTCCTGGAGCTCTGAGAGCATGGTGGATGTGAAAGGCTGTACTCATCGATGTCCAAGAAACTAGGATAGAAAGAGGCGGTGCCCTCAGCCTGGGCTATGCACACATTGTCGCTTCTCCTGAAGTATTTCCTCTCCAGAGCCCCTTGGAGCATTGCCCTGACTTGAACTTGTCAGCCATGTGGACCAGGGGCCCCTGTAGCCCAAGTGTCCCCAGGACCTCGACAGCTCCAGACTCCAGCCGTGACTCCTGGAACTTTAGGCAGGGTTTGGTTTAAAGGGTGGAAGACTTGATGGAAGAATTCTGGTCCTTGATCTACAGCTGCCTCCCCATAAGCCAAGTACCTCCCAGGTACCTGCCTCCCTTAGGAAGGCACAGACAGCAGTCAGGTAGACAATGGTGTGGGAGGGGCCTGGTCCCTTTGTGATAGCAGCTTAGCTTGTGCCCTTTCTCAGGGAGTCCAAATAGCCTCTGCAAAGACTCCCTGTCCTGTTGTCACCTCATCATTAGCTGTATCTGCTCATAAAACTGCTAGTTCATTGTCTGTCCCACATTTCCTGCTCTTTATCGATGCAAGCTTCATAAAGGAAGATCTGCTTTTTTGTTTTGTTTTGTTTTGGTCTTGTTCAACATAATATCCCTAGAACCCTGCAAAGTACTGCTGCACATCAGGCGTTGCAAACATGTTTGTGGTGGCATGGAGGACAGTGATAGTGGATAGCAGCGGTCATGGGTAGCCAGGAGGGGGGACCTTGAGACTTACCTGTAGGACCACCTGGCCCCGGCATCAATTCTCAACACTCTTCTGTCACCCTTAGGGAGAAGTTGCCAAAAGAGCTCAGACACTAGCAGAGAGCCATGTCCAAGACTGGTCAAGGTGACCTTGGGTGACCTTGAGGCAATTGGGTTTCATGGCCACTGCCCCCCTCCCCCTACACCAGTATTCATGGCATAAATGGATTGGTGCTGGGTCTGCACCAACTTCTGAGACTTCACCCACTCTAGCATTTCAACCCAGGCCCCTAAATTGGTCTTCAGTATTCTTGGATTTAACTGAGTCAGTTATTGGCCAATTCTTTGATCAAGAAGCAGTTAAGCTGCAAAGAAATTTAGCTTCCATGTGTGTCAATGTAGGTGTGAAACTGCCTATCAGTTTACACGAGTATGTATATGTGCATCCTACAGAGGCACATGCATATCTGTGCATGTGACTGTCCCTGCGCAGATATTCAAATGTGACTATGTATATGAGTGGAAATTGTGTGTATCAGTTCTTGGCAGCTGGTTCTGAATTTCTGCTAGTACTGTTTTCCTGGTACACACCCAATCTTGATCTCTTTTCTTTTCCTTTCTTCTTGGAAATCCATTACTAAAAGGTTTTTTTTTTTAACCCACCTCCAGGGGGAGGGGGACTGAGAGAAGGGGAAGCTAAATTCACAAGGCCCAGATCAAAACACTCAGCAGCTAAATGAATTCGGCAGCATTTTCCCGCATGACTTGGAGGGATAATTTAGTGAGGCCGCCAGCTGGAAGGAAAGGGATTAATTCTGCACTTAGCACAGCTCCAGTGAATAATTCATCATTGGAGACCTTTGTGCCAGCCTCTGGGCCATCAGGGCAGTGTCCTGCCCACCTGCCTGTTGCCTGCCTGCGCCCCCCAGGCCCTTGACCAGGGGACCCAATGCTCCCTTCAGTCCCAGGATGCCTGTGCCCAGGGCAGGGGCAGGAGGCAGAGGGAGGAGAGTAAGGGGCTGGCAGTGGGAACTGGCAGATTCTAGATCCTGAGAAAGGCCCTGGAGGCTGGGTTTCTACCTGGGAAGTTTGTGACATTTTTCTCCAAGGACCCTGTTGTCCTCTTACCTGGGGTCTTTGGTTTTTTGGTGACCTCCACTTTTAGTGCTTTCTTGTTGCTGTGCGGTGGGGTGGCTATCAGAGCCTCTAACAAGCTCTTCCCTAGCCAGGTGTCAGAGGAGCCTCCTTGGATGGAGAGCATGATGCCAAACACCTGCAGCAGGGAGAGGCCTTGTGGGGGATGCTTCAGGCCGGTACCTTCCAGAGAGACCCCTGGAGCCTGTGATGTAGCTCCCCATGTCCATCACAGGTAAGGTCCCTGATCCTTGGACCTGTATCACAGTGAGCTGTCGTGCGTGGGACTATGTCACGTCATGTGATGCTGCTGACCTGAAGGCTGGGGGATTACTCAGTAGCCTGACCTCATCCTAGCAGCCTTTTTTTTTTTGGTACTGGGATGGAACTCAGGACCTTGTGCTTGCAAGGCAGGTGCCAGAACTACTGAGCTAAATCCTAGCAGCCTCTTTAAAAAGCAGTTTTTTCTGGCCAGGGATATAGCTCAGTGGTGCTGTGCTTTCCTGGTAAGCGCTAGGTCCTGAGTTTTTTCCCTGGCTGCTGATGGAAGAGGAAGTCAGGATTTTCAAGCTGGGGGGATTGGACAAGCCTACTGGCATGAGATGGAGGGGATGTGATGAGAAGGAACGTGTGTGGTGTTGGGGAGCCCAGAATCTGAGGTGTGGGTCCTGCACTGCAGGGAGCCAGATCCTGGCAGCAACCCAGATGAGCTCTTCCCTTAGAGCCTCTGGGAAGAGGGGGACCTTGCCAGCCTGTGGTGCCCAACTGCCTTCCTGTTACAGAACTGTCAGCGAGTATGTAGTATTACTTGAAGCTAAGTTTGTCCTAGTCCACCTTTGCAGGACCTGGGCCCCAAGGAAACAGGCCCGGCCTGGGCTGCATCAGGGACAGACCCCCAGGTCGAGGTGGTCCTCTACTCTCAACTCTCCTCATCTTAACCCCAGATTTTTCTCTGGATTTCTGGAGCCTCAAGTCACGTGCGGACATTTCTATCCAAAGTAGCTGTCAAAAGTCCCAGGCCCCAGTCCCCAAGCACAGCCAGCAGCCAGGAAAGTGGCTGGAGCTCATGGGGGGCGGGTCACAGAGCTGGCTGGCTCAGGCATGACCTTACCGGCCCAGCCTTACCTCGGAGGAGAACAGCTGGAAGGAGAGGTCCACTGTGGGCGCCTCTCCATTGATGGTTTTCAGGGTGGTGTCCTGTGGGGAGGAAGGAGCAGTCAGACGGAGCTGGCCAGGGCAGATCTGGACTCTGCTCCTCCCATGGTTCTGGGTGCCCAGGAAGTGTCTGGGGGAATGGAGTGGTGCCCAGGAGGGTGGAGGGAGGTAGGAGCCAGCCTCTGCCCCTGTTTTCCTCCCTGCTCCCCCCCACCCCCACACACCCTTCTCAACCCCCCTGGAGCCCTGACTGGCAGCTCTGGGCTCACCTCCTGGCATCTAGTTATTGAAGTCTGCTATGTCTGAAAACCAGAAGCATTGTGGGGGAAAAGAAGTAGATATGGACATAGACAATGATAATGGGATAATAGACATAGAAATAGGTAACAATAACAGAAACGATATTCATGGTTACTGAGAACTTATTCAAAATGCTTTCTATACATGTTTTTCCTAACAAAATCTCAGCAGCCATATGAGAAAAGTACTGTTATTGTGAGCCCATTTTATAGGTGAGGAACCTGAGGCCGTGAGACTTTAAGCAATTTTCCTACAGTCATGTGCGCTGGTAGGTGGTGGAACCAGACTTTGGACCCAGAAATCTGGCCCTAGATCCTGAGCTCTTGAGGCTGTGTCTGGTATGTTGTTCCCATCTTACAGATAAGGACTCTGAGGTTCAGAAAGGTTAAGTCATTCACCCCGGGTTCCACAGAGAGGACAGGGCAGGCCGGAATTTGAACCCAGGTCTGGTTGAAGGCCTGAGCTCTACCCTCTATCGTGGGAGCCTCCCTGGGCTTCTTCTCTGGCTCTGTTCTTCAGCCCCAGAGGCAAGGCTGGTCCTGGCTCTGGGGGCCCCTTGCACCCACAGGGTCAGCTCATCTGGCAGGTCTCTGGCCCAAGCTGCTGAGGGAACCACATTTCATTGGAGCTGTGTTACGATGGAGCAGGTAGGGCTATGGTGGTGACACTGGGGACCTGACAGGGGACTCACGGTGATGGGAAGCTGCTCAACGTGCAGCCCATTCAAGCCTTTCCCTGTGAGCATCTTGCGGTATAGACGGCTCTTCAGCGGCAGCACGGAGATGCCCAGGGGCTGGCTGAGGGTCCACGGTGCACTGCCCTGTGCTGCAGGGAAGGACCAGCTGGGCTCCTCAGGTGCCAGCCTCAAGTCCCACCTGGGCCCAGCTCTGACAGGGACCTTAGCTCTCCACCCCACACCTCTTCCTGCTCCCTGGCTCCCACCTGTGCATCCATCCTCCTCCTCCATCTTCAAGGCTTCATGAATCTACAGATTCTGCATCTCTGGGTATTTATATGGTCACCCTCATCTCTGTCCTTGGGGGCTTAGTTTCAGAGTGTCCAAGTGAGGCTTGAAGGGTGGTCTCTGACTCCCATCTCCCCACCCCTCCTCTGCACCCTGGGAGCTGAAAGCTCAGAGGCTCCACCCCTTCCCTCCTCACTGATGGCTGCTATAAAAGCCTGTGGTGTAGACTGGAAGCAGGTGTCCTGGACGGTACTCTGCAGCTGCTCTATGCACAACAGGCCAGCCGGGCTCTCTTCTCTTCATCTGCCCACCCTGGGAGCCCTTAACCTATCCCTGCAGGAGGCAGAAGCAGGAAAGTGTGAGTATTCCCAGGCATCTCCCAATGAGTGGCAGCCCCAGCGTGGCAGCACAGGGCAATCACCTGAAGTGGCGGGGTAGTACTCCAGCACCAGGGCTGTGTCCTCTGAGAAGTTGGTGGCACCATCTCGGCCTTGGAAGAGGAAAGACTGGTTCCACATTGGCAGCTCTGGGGGCCCCCCAGGTTTGGACAGCTGGAAGGAGAGATGGGAGCGGGCATGGGGCTACAGTGCCCTCCAACCCCAGGCATTTGGCTGTATGTCTTACATACATGAAGCTTTTCCCAATTGTAAAAAAGCAACATACACTGAATACTTTTAGAAAATGCAGAAAAGTAAAAAGGAGGACAAAATCCTTATAATCCTGTGCCAAAGACAAACATTCACAAAACTGTTTCTAGACTTTTTTCTGTGCACATTTTGTATATAATTGTCATTCTAGCCGCCTGTCTTTCTCATTTACCACCCAAACCAAAGCATATCCAGAGTCACAAGAAACTCCCGTTGCCCATGACTTTAGTAACTTCAAGATCACCTGTCAGGTCCCAGGGCCCCAGTTTTTTTCTCCCTTCCCATTTTTTCCTGCAGTAACACTGCACTGCATGCCTTTTGTCATATACCGCTGAGTCCCAAATACCTAAAGAACTGTTGGGTTAAAGGATGTGATGCATAGTTCAAGGCACTTGGCTGGCGACATTTTTCCTAAGTGTTAGGCCAGCGTTTGCAGCCATTGCTGGTGGTACCATTAATGCAAAGTTAGCTGTGACCTCATCACAGCCCCTCTCTGTCCCATACAAGTTCCTGAAGCCCTTGGAGAGGCCCATGACAGGTTTGCAGACCCCAGGACCTTGGTGTGTCCATGGAGGGGGCATAGGGCACCCTGGGGACTTGGTGGCACGCTGAGCCAGCACCTGGGCACACACATGGGAATAATGTAGACAATGCAGTGACAGCATTAACTATTGCCCAACTACCGAGGCAACAGGAGATGTTTCCATGAGTGGCCAGAAAAGCTGCCTTGAGGGAAGCAGGGCCAGAGGAAGTCTCTGGAGGAAGATCTGGCAAGGTGAAGCCAGGGAGAAAGTTCTGGGTGAGAAAATGGCACAAATGACCAAAGGTGGAGTTGGCTCCAAGCATGACCTGTGTGGAAGGTGCCTGGAATGAGGAGGGTCCCTGGGGAGACCCAGCATCTGCAGAGGCTGGCAGGTGGGGAGATGAGAGTTGGGTGTCAGCCCGAAGCAGGCGGCCTTGCATTGTCCCAGCAGAGACTCTCCACATGGCTGCCTCGCCCATGTGTCTGTCAGGGGTTGTCATCAACAGGGACAGCTGCTCCCACCTCCCACTGCTCCGCGGGAGTCAGTCATTGCTAGTAAAGGTCAGCACAAATGCACTGCAGGCTCCACGAGTTATTCATGCAAGATCGAGACCCGTCAGCATGGAGCCACTCCCCTGGGTGGCAGCACCCTGATGCCTGTCAGACTCATGTGCCTGCTGCAGGTCTCCGAGGCTCAGCTGTGTCTGCCCCCATCCCCAGGGAGATGGGCTGTGGTCACCGTGGGGCTGGGGGCTCTGAACACTGGGATAGTGGCTGGGGTGAAAAGTGTGTCCTTGAGACACCAGGCTAAGCTGGTCCTGGGCTCTGTGGAGCATGGGAGTCATCTTTCAGGACTGGTCCCCAGATCATGTCCCCCGGGTGCCAGAGTGGCATCCATATGGCCTGGGCCAGCTGCCAGGCACAGGGGCACCAGGAGGGACCTGTGACTCAGATCCCTGCTGCCCTATTGCTTGCCCCCACCCTGGAGCAAGGTATTAACGGATGCAAGCTGTCTGCTCTGGGACCTATTAATGTGTCCAAATGGGGTCTCGAAAGCAAGAGGTGGTGAGTGGCTGCCTGCCTAATAAGAGACTGTCCCTTCCCTGAGTGGCTTTCCAGGGTAAGTCCCCTGGAAAGACCCCCTCAGACCTACAACTGGGCAGGGAGGGCCAGTCCCCTCCCCATCCCCACGCAAGACTCAAGGTTGAATAACTGCAGAATCTGATGCTGGGGCTCTGCTGAAGGTGCTGGTGGCTGATGTGTATGCCAGTGGGGGTAGGGTGAGAGTAGACATTGCTGCAGATGCTAATGGGAAAGGCCAAGGCTGGCTGTGGAATTAAGGGATGTGATTAACCCTCAGCTGTGATCTTCAGAAAAGCCATTAACCCCCAGCCACTGAGGCAGCCCTGCCTTCCCTGGGGACAGAGACTTAATTCCATGGGCGCACAGCCCCTCCTCTTGTGCCCCTGGGCCACCCACACCTGCACCCACCCTTCCTGCTGTGCTCAAGGACAGCAGGGCCACCAGAGAAGAGCAGCTGCTGGCAGCTGGGGCTGAGGTGGGGCTTCAGGGAGCCAGGACCTTCTGGCTCTTCGACTGGTTCTGCCTCAACCTTGCTGTGTGACCTTCAGCAAGTCCCTTCCCTTCTCTGGGGCCTGGATTTCTCACTGCCAGCAGGAAAACACATTTTGTGCCACACCTGGAGAGTCTGCTGTGAGGTTGAAGGGCATGATGGATATTTTGCTATTAAAGTACAGGTTCAATTCTGCAAATGTTGGCTAGGGGCTTCTCCATGACAGACACCTGTTGGGTGCTGCAGGGCATACGGGGGAGTTAGAGCCAGATCCTGACCCCACCAGAGCTTACCATCTTCAAGGAGCTAGGGCTTGTGCGCGCGCACACACACACACACTCCTAGGATCCTTGTATAGGCCAAGCAAATTGTAGTAGTGGCAGCTGGGGTGTCTGAGGAGAAAGCCACACTCTGACCTGGGGCAGGGAGGGTCTGAGGAATGAGGCCGCAGCCCGGATGAGCAAGGCCATTCTGGGCTGAGGGGACAGCAGGGAAAAGGCCAGAAGTGAGAGAGGACACAAGCGTGTGGAGCAGGGGGCCGGGAGGCTGGCAGGGACAGGGATGGGGGTCTGAGCGAAGGACTTGGACCTGGCCAGGGGATGGCCAGCCTGATTCTCAGAAGTCCGTGGTGCCAGAAAGGACCCCATCAGAGCTTGGGGACAGACTGGCTGTGGGCTGAGACAGGAGGAGGTGGTGATGGACACAGCAGGCTCCTGGGAGGCCAGGGAGCAACCTGTTGGGTCCAGCCTTACCACCCACCTTAACTCATTAGTACCCAATCATCAGTGATTGGCTCAGGGAGTGCACATGACCCAGTTCTGACCAATGAGATGAGAGGTCTGCTGAGGGATTGGTGGGTAGGTAGGTTTCCTTTCTCCTGAAAACATCACTTAGGAGGAAGCTCCCCACCTCCACTGGCCTTTGGTCATATCTGGGTGGGTTCCTGGGACATTTTGCCCCTGTAAGCTGTTGACCAGCACTGATGGAACTTCTGGGGGTGTTAGATCTTGTGGGGTTTTTTTTGTACCTGTGATTGAACTCGGGACCTTGCGCTTGTGAGGCAGGCGGCAGAACCACTGAGCTAAATCCCCAGCCCCAAGATCTTATGTTTTTGAGGACACCAATTCCTGGCAGCATCCTACGGTCAAGACTAATTGTCATGTGCAGCAATCAGTATCCTTAGTATTCAGATCCATCTGAGTTGGGGTTTCTGTTGCTTAAAGCCAGATATAACAAGGGCAGTGGTGATTCTGGCTGCAGGGAGTGTTTGGTACTAGGGGATATATAGCTCTGAAGGGGACAGAGTCCATCTAACTTAGCCTGGGCTTGTTAGCCCATCTAACTTACCCCACACATAGTACCCTTTAAACTCTGAACAGCCCAATAAATAGGACCCAGTAGGTCCAGAGGACCAGAGCAGCTTGCAAAGCCCACACAGCTAGTCAGTCACAGAGCTGGGGTTCCCCCCAGGTCTGCTGGACCCTCTAGCTCCTGCCCACAGTGCTTTGGTAGGGTGGCAGCTGGTGCAAAGTCACAGCATCCCAAGATGACAGAGAAGACAGGCCCCAGAAATTTCCTAGTCCAGTTCCCCCGCCCCCATCTGTAGAGGCGAGGGGATTGAAGCTCAGACAGGGGAGGGGACATGTGAGCTCTGAGCCCAGGACTGCTGACAGGTGGCCCTCCCAGGTAGGGCTCTGCCTACCCTCCACCCTCTGCCCATTCTCTCTCTCCTGGCACCTGGACACCTCTGTGCAGGGTGCCAGCAATTTCCCAAACTAGCCCAGCTGCCACAGTGCTGGGGAACCTCCAACAAGTGTCCTGCCACTGCTGGTCCCCTGGCACTTGGGGGAAGTCTCTGTGGTGAGGTGCACTTCCCCCACTCAGGCCAGTTAGGCAGCAAAGGGGGGGGAGATAGGAGGAGGCCCCCTCATTAAAGTAGGCAGAGCCTCCTACCCCCCGGGACAGCCTGCTGATTGGTTCATAATTTTCTGGGAAAATGCAGGGGCATGTGTGAGATGACTCTGGGGAAATCAGGCCAAGGATTGGTTTGGGTTTGAAGCTTCTTTCCCCAGGGTCTCCCTTTGTCCCGCCCCTCCCTGCCACCATCACTCTTGGCTATGTCTGAGCCTTCTCAGAACGTCTTTGTCTTTAAATGATGGCTGGGACTCCAAAAGGGTATCTTGTTCTAGTTTTGCAGAGGCAGGCATGAACACTGGTGGGCGGATAGCAGGAGGGACTTCCCAAAAACCTCCTGTCCTCCAAGGCCCCTAGAAATGTAGGGCAAGCTCCCACTGAAGAGCGGATAGGAGAAGAGATCAATCTGGACCATGACCTGTCTGCCCCCTCCCCAACATCTTCAAACACTACCCCCATGTCCAGCCCATCCCTTGCTGTCCTCGACTGCCCTGGCCAATTCTCCCCCTATCAAAAAGTTGGGACTGCTGTCCCTAGCCACCCACGCTTCCTGTCCTCTGATTCATTAAAAATATGTATTGTGGTGAAATATATATACGACAAAATTTACCATCTTAGCCATTTTAAGTGCACAGTTCAGTGGTATTAATACATTCATATTGTGTGCAACCACCAAAAACACTTCTAGAACTTTCTCATTGCCCCAAACAGTGACTCTGCATTCATTACACAGTAACTCCTCATCCTTCCTCCAGCCCCCAGGAACACTATTCTGTTTTCTGTCTCTGTGAATATACTGATTCTGTGTCCCTCTGCACCTGGGACCAGGCAGTATTTGTCCTTCAATATCTCCTCTCCTCTGGTTTTTGCAGCTCTGAAGTCCCTGCTGGTTATTAGGTTATACATGATCTGGGCTGATATTTAACATCCCACGTGTGTAGACATGTGAGCCGCTGACAGGGTCACTAGCAGAGGGCCTTACCTGTGGGCACCCATCCTGCCTGACCTGGGGCACGTCGAAGTTCAACACTGATGAGATGGGGAAGGAGAGTGGAGTGATGGGCAGCCTCCTGGAGGCCGGGTCCCGGCTTGCCTGGGTGCCCCTGGCGAGGCAAGGAGACAGGACAGCTTGGCACTCTCTGTCGTGTGCCCAGCTGGCAGCTGGGGCTCCCTTGAGGACTCCACATTGGTGTGAGATGGGCTGCCTGGTTCAGGATAGACCTTGGCATAGCGGTTGGGCCTGATCCTGTGGGTGTTGGCCCAGCCTCAGGAGGGCTCATCTGAGTTGGGTGATGGGCTGCAGCTCCCCGGTTCCCTTGTCTGGGAATTGCTGTGGCCTTGGTCACATCCGAATAGGTCAGCTTGCCCACTTTGGAAATGACTCTCACCTTTGGGGAACCCTATCAGAGTAACTTCCCTTCCCATCTTGTGGGAATCCTGGCTTAGGCTGGAGGGGCATGGAGAGCCTTGCATATGCATGTGTGTGTGTGTGTGCATGCACATGTACATGTGTGCCAGGCTCACTGGGGTATCAGGGAATCAGTCATCTTCATTCTTCCGATAATAAAGGGGGCCCTACAGGTCATAAAATCCCCCAGGGGTGCAAGGGAGCCAGGAAGTCGTCTTGGGCCACCAGGGCAAGTGACAGGGCAAGTGAGCGCCTGTTCGCTGGGGGACTTCCCACTGTGGCCTGTGATGGCCAAAGTAGCTGGAATCCCTCCCTGAGGACAGTGATCCTACAAACTCCAAAGGAGGTGTGTGGGGGGCGCGGGGGGACTGGCCAGGGAGACCTCGAGGAGGTGAGGGAAGGGACTTCCATGTGGAATTCCAAGATGGCCTTAGGCTGCTTCCACTGGGGATAGCTACCCCAGTGGCTGGAGCCTGTGGCCCTAAAGCAGAGTGGGGGAGGGAGCTGTGGAGACGATGGTCAGGAGATGGGAGGCAGGTTTGGAGCAGCAGAGGCACCTGGGCGGGGAGGGGTCCTCAGCCCTCACTGCACAAAGCTCCCAGCTCTCCAGGCCTGTGCAGCCCCACCCCTCCCCACCTGCCCAGGAACCACCCCTGCTGCCCCTCTCCTGGCCCTGAGGTCACCTGGGGAAAGGAAGGCCTGGCCTGCTGTGGGAAGCTCTTGGGACCTCAGAGGCAATGTGGGGAAGCTTTGCTGCATCATGAGGGCAGAACAGGCTTCTAGGGCTCCTGGAATTGGCCCCTGCCATCCTCTGTCCTCCAGCCCCCTCCTTCCTGGCCCACGCCCACCTGGGCCCCACTCACTTAAACTCCCTGAGGCTGGGAACCACCCGGGCAATCACCACCATGGGGTTGGAGTTGTTGACCAGAGGCTCATTGACTCCCCTGAGAAAGACCTGGAGAAGACAAGAGGCAGATGAGGCCCATGTGGACCTGGCCCCTGTGGACATGGCCAGCCTGCCTGCCGGCCATCTTTCTTCCCCAGTAAGACCATCTCTGCCTTCAACCCCCACACTGCCCTTTCCTGCCCCAGCTGCTCTTGGTTCTTGCTCTGCTCTCTCTCTGCCTGGGGCCTGTGCCCCTGAGTGCCTTGGGGCACTGCTGGAGCTCAGTAGGGGCCCTCGAACACCAGCTGCCTCTGAGGACAAGGTCCAGGGTGAGAGGGGCTGGGAGTGTGGGGTCAGTAGTGTGGGGTCCTGGGGCAGGACAAGGGTGGGTGAGGCACTGTGCTTTCTCTATGTTTCTGTCCATCAAAGGGGGCACAAAGCCTGGTTCTGGGTCCTCCTGGATCTCCGATTAGATTTTTTTGTAAGAGGACACTTTGTAAACTGAGGCCATCAAGCACAGATCTGGTCTCTCCAATCACATTGAGCTTCCCACCAAGGTCAGAGGTCACAGTCTGACCCCCATTCACAGTGGCCATCACTGGTGCCTGCTCACCCCAGGGATTTTCCTGATTTGGAAGGGAATCCCCAGCACCAGGATCTCTGGGCTCCTCTGCCTCACCACCCCCCACCCTGAATGACCTCCGTCCTCTGTCACCTCTTGGGCCTCCCTCCACCCTGGACCCGAATGCCATCTCCTCCTAGGGCTTCCAGTGGCAGCAGCAAAGCGGCCATGTTCCCAGGGAATGGTGGTGGGCAAAAGTATTGTCCTAACCCTCACTGTCACCTGCTTAGCCCAGCCCTAGGCCAGAGGGAAAAGACAGGGATTCTGGCCTTGCATTCCCCTTGTCCATCCTAGAAGCTCCTGATCCAGCCTCTGACCCTCACCTCTCACCTCTTCACCTTCACTGGTGCACAGCAAGGAACCGCACCTAGGACAAAACTGGGGGGAGGAAGAGCCCTCACCAGGTCCCCTTTAGCTGGTCACTCTGGCATGTGCTTGCTCCATCCTGGGCCTCAGTTTCCCAGCTTGCACACTGAGGATTTGGGCCAATCCCTGGGGTCTTTCTAGCTCTGGCCTTTAGTGGAAGGAGAGGGCCCAGGAGGGGGGCTCATGCTGGATCCACCCCTTGTCCTCCTTCCCCTCAGCACTGTCCCCTGGGCCCCTCTGCCAGGATCCTGCTCAGCTGGTGCAAGCTGAGGAGTGCGTGACAGACCCCAGGACCTCCCAGTGGGTCTCTGACGGTGGCATCACTGGAAGACTGTCAGGCCCTGTTGCTGACAAGGACTCCAAAAAATGTAAGGTAGGGGGCTAGACAGTATGGGTGCCACTTCACACCGGTTCTATGCTGGTTTTGGTCAGGTGTGGATGAGAGCTGCCTGAGCACACCTCCTCACAACAGGTGGGACAAGCAAGTTCTCTCCCTGCACATATGGCTAAAGAACAGTGCCTGCCCTGCCAGTCTCACAGAGCTTGGAAGGGAGGGGATCAGATGAGCCACACTGGGTAAGGCACCTGGGGCTGGTTCCTGTGGGTCACCTCCAGGCCATGCTGGTGTGATCTGTCACCCATGGGCAGTTTGAAGGCTGCAGGGAAGGGGGAAGGGCCAGGTCCCCGAACTGTGTCTGCCTTGAGCATCAACTCTTTCTCCCTCTCGAGGGCACTGAAAGGCCAAGTGTGAAAGGTGATGGGTCTGGGATGGAGACTGGGCCTGAGCTAGACCCAGGCCTGGCCTGGCTAATGGAAGAGGCTGTGTGAGTTAGTGATGAATGAATGAATGAATGAATGAGCTCCTGAATACCTAATCAGCAGACTAGCCAAACTTCAGGCAGAGTCAGGGATGGCCAGAGCTTTTGCCTGGGGCACTTGGGTCAGGGATCACTGCCTGGAGAAAGAACCAATTGAAATTAGCCAGGGGCTATGGCCCAAGGCAGGGAGTGCAGGGTCTTCCCCCATTTCCTTGAGATGCAGGGAGTCCTGAGGCTATGGGAGGCTCTGGTCCTGGTCCTCCCTGCAGCACAGGGCAAGGGTGAGTAGCAGAGCTGTAACCAAGGACAGGAGAGGCTGGAACATCTGTCTCGTCCCACATCACAGCTATCCTCACCAACTACTCTGGCTATTTAGGGAACTTCTGGCTGCTTTTGCTTGTCTTGGATTTCTTCCCTGGACGGCTCTGTTCCACACTTCCAGGCCAGGCAGAGGTGGCTGTGGGCAGACTCTGGGCATCTCCCCACCCAAGCACCAGCTCAGAGGCCTAGGCCTGGTACCTCCAGAGCTGTGTGGTCACAGCCGATGTAGCGAGGGATGAAGCTGCCTTTCCGAATGATGGTCACGTATAGCTGGGTCTTGGCAGTGGCTTTGTTGGAGTCCTCAGTCTGGATGGGATAGGGACAGAGCGGGAACAGAAGACACACAAGGAGGAGCATGTCTGAGGGGCAGAGCTTGGCCATAAATCCAGTCCTCTGCAACCATCACTTGGCATTGCTCCACCGGGGCTCTGAACGATAATTAAAGCTCATGGTCCCCATGAGCCCTTCCAAGGAGATCAATATAATAAATCTCCCTTTTCCATTTGAATATTTCATCACCCTTGCAAGGGCCACCCAGGCCTGCTGTCTGGGTGAAGAGGTGATAACGAGGCTGGGTTATTAATGGACAGAGGGGTGGGGCCTGGGAGAAGCTCCGGAATGCAGCTCCAGGGCTGAGTTTCCAGGCATCATGCATCTCCAGGCCTTTGTTTCCCTGTCCTGCCTGGTGCTTCCTCCTGGAGCTTTGGGGTCTGTTCCAGGTCTAGGGAAGGTAGAGAGCCCTGGGGCCATGCTCAGAGAGTTGCCTAGTGGGAAGGTCAGTGCTGGGGTCTGGAGGAGGGGGTGAGGAGGGAATGTCCAGACCTGAGCAGCTTCCATGGGCCAGAAACTCTGGATCTCTCTGCAGAACCCTCCAAATGACCCTATCAGGCTGGAACTGTCTGGGGCCTGGCACTAAGTGACCTCCCATGAGCATCCAGCTGATGAGTGGCAGGCATGGGACAGGAATCCAGACAATCTGCCCTCACTGTTTTTCACTCCAGACCACTCCAGGCGTCTGCAGTGCATGGAGTCAGGAGAGGACAGGGGTGCTGCTGCTTATCTGTGGCTCAGTGTGTGGCACATTGTAGGTCCTTAATTAGCACTTGAGCAATGAGAGATTGAGTTCTCCCCTCCACCAATCAGTACTGGGCAGGGAGCAGAGGACCCGGAGGCTTCCCACTTCAGCTGGAGCTGTCTCTGAGGGCAGCGTTCCAGAGAAAGCTTAATCCCCTGGCCTTCTTGCCAACATGGCAGGTGGAGGCAGCACAGAAAGAGCTGGCTTGGAAGCCAGCATGACCTGGGCTCACCCTTAGCTGCCACTCAGAGCTTGCTCTGGGACCCAGGGTGAGAGGACTCCTCTCCCAGAGCCACAGTCCCTTGGGGCAAATGTAATTGACCTTGAGGGTTAGGGATGTATGTGAAGCATGTAGCTCAGGACTGGAGCACAGTAGGGACTTTGAAAATACTCTTTAATTGGTGCATTCACTCAGTGTGGTAGTTGTTTTATGCAAATTGGGTTGCTTTATAGAGATGAATGTGTAGAATTCCAAATTCCTTTTTGTTCTGTATTGTTCTGTTGAGACAAGGTTTCACTGTGTAGTTCAGGCTGGTCTTGAACTCACCATGTAGCTCAGAGTCACCTCAAACTCACTGTGATTCTCCTGCCTTAGCCTCCTGAGTGCTGGGATTATAGATATGCAACACCACACACAGCACAAAGAATTTCAAATTCTTGTGGACATCATTCCTATTAGGAGCTGAATCCTATGTAGTTCTAGACTTGTCTTGCTATGGGGTGGGCATATGATGCCCAAGTTGCTCTTGAGGAGTATTTGGGGGTATCAAAGTGCTCCTCACTAGTTCTTCTTTTATCTGACCAGAGGTCATACCCAGAGCCCAAGGCTGTGACTCACCTTCCCCAGCTCAAAGTGGTAGGGGTGGAAGACACGCAAGTACTTGATGGGGATCCCATAAGACAAGAGCTCCTCTTTCTTTTTGTTGTCCACCACCTTGAGGACCACATCTGGAGAGAGAAAAAGAGCACAGAGTCAGAGAAAGGCCCAGATACCTTCTCTCCCAGCAAGGAGAGGCAGTGTGAGGTGAGAGACACTGCTGAGCAGAGGGGGCAGGGGCCACATGCAGAAATCAGCACATTTGTCCTATGTGGACACACGGGTGCACTGCTCGAGTCCCTGCACATTGTAAGACTCCATGGCAGGTGCTGTTAGGACCCAAAATATGGTTTTCTCCTGTGGTCAAGAAACACCCAGCCCAGAGGTACAACACAGAGCTGAGCCCAGCCCCCCAGGGTGACAGGCACATGTGCCCCCAGACACACACAGGCAAGCAGGGACAGTCCTCTCGGTCATCAACACTCCCATCAGCTTTGCAGGCAGGATGGGAGGGGTTATCTCCCCATGTTACAGGTGGGAAGACTGAGGCTCAGTCAAGAAAAATGATCTACCCAAGAAATCCTTCAATGCAGCTGTCAACAAAGGTCTACTCCAAAACTAGTCTCAATGCCAGGAATAACACTTTCCCAAATGACCACATTTTCCCATCCAGTGGTGTGGACTTTAAGATGAACTCCAATGTCCTGGACATAATCATATAGTCCCACTTCATGAGCATCTGCTCTGTGCCAGACATAGGGATGGGGCTCTTTTGTCGCTACCCTTTATGGTGGGTGTCACCATCTCTGTTTTTGCAACATGGGCATGGAGTGCAGAGGGGTTACATAACCAGCTGACATCACACAGCTCGGAAATGGATGATAGGAGAGGCTGGGTTTGGTGACCTTTGAGGCAACTTCCTGTTCCTCAAAAATCTATAATGTGAGGAGGAGAAAAATGAGATGGGGAAGGAGGGAAGGAAGGAAGGATAGAGGAGGGATGAAGGAGGGAGAGAGATGGAGGAAGGAGGAGGAAAAAGAGCGATCTAGAGGAGAATGGGGAAGGAAGTTGAGGGAGGGGGATGCGTGCCTGCCGGAGACCCTTGGGAACCCTTCCTCTGCCGTGGGCCACGTTTCAGCACCGGGGACAGCAGCAATGCTGGAGGCTGACAGACCCGAAGCCCAGGGCTGAGCCCAATCAAGCAGCACCTGGGCCCCTTGGAGATGATGAGTCATTTGGAGGGGAGGGTGGAGAAGGAAGTGGGGGGCGTTACTAACCTTCTTCCTCTCGAGCTTTCGCACAGACACCCTGAACTCACAGAGAGGGAAAGATATTTGCCAAGAGTTGTCTATAGGGTTCATGCTCAAGGGGAAGAGGGCAAAGGGGAACCACAAGGTCTTGAGATTGACTTAAGAAAGTAGAGTAAGGCAAGGGATTTGAATTCATCAGACCTGGGCTCTAGGACCAAGACTAATGTGCTGTGTGACCTTGAGCAAGTCAACCTCTCAGAGCTCCATTTGTCTGCTCTGCAAAATGTTAATACTTAAGCAAACAAACCGATGAAGAAAGAAACCCTATCTCCCTCCTAGGACTGTTGGGGGAGGAGAGTGTGTATTTCAAGCTATAAAATTCTATGAAATGCTCCTTGTGTCCATCACCATTTACCTCTTTGTTAATAATCTGCAGCTCTCTACACGTTCACCCAGCCCTGAGCAGAGAGGAGAAAACCAGCTGGGGTCCTGTGTTCCTGGCTGCAGCCGTGCATGCCCACTCACCATGGGCCAGGGCTGAATCTGATTGGGATTTGCTGAGGCTAACCAGGAGGGCACTATACCATGTTCCCCCAACCCCCAGCAGTGGGCTGTGACAGGGGGACAATGGCCACCCCTCCTGCTCCTGTCTGCACGCTGCACACACGCTTCATCAGCTTCTTCTCTGGACATTGTGCCCTTCCGGCCTCCTGCTGCTCCCTTTGTGCACTCAACAAGCCATTTCTGCTGCTGCTTTCTTTGGCCCTGACCCAGGGTCTGCAATGCCCCTTTGCTTTTCATTAACACATCCTTGTGCTACCTCCCACCCTCCTCCTGCCTCTTGGCCTGCCACCCCCCGATTCCCTCCATAGATGTCAGCAAAGCAACTGGTTCTCACCAGGTTTCAACAAGCTACTCGGACCTGCAGATATTGCCTGCCAATATTCCCTGCCTGCCCGTGTGGCCTCCCCATGGTCCTGTCCCTCCTGCAGTTGTCCTGTCCTCTTTCTGCTGCACAGATGGACCCTGGGGCTACTGACCTCATCCTATCCTTTCCCCATCACCCCAGATGTCTACCGCCCAGGGCAGGACCCAGCCCAGGTCTGTGCTCCCAGCCCCTAACTTCCTGAACACACAGACACACATACACACACTCATGCAATGCCACATGCACACCACCATCCAGATACCAGTGTATCGATGCACACACAGAACACAGCTGCAGCCACACACACACCTATGCACAGATACAAGACACAGAAATGCATGCCTATAGGCACAGAGAAAGCATGCCCTCACGCACACAGTAATATTCACACGAACATGAGCCAGCATGCAGGCATTCACAAAGATACTAGCACACTCGCATGCACAGGCCTCTTCATGAAATCCTAGGCCAATTTGTCCTCCTCTTTTGCATCTTCCTGAACCATCTCCAGAGCTCCACCTATCCCTTTACAGGCAGAAAAACCAATTCTCTGCCTTGACCCAGAACTGGACTCCTCCCCTTCACGGAGGCCCTCCCTCCCTATTCTGTCTCCCTCCCAGTCTCTGGCAGCCGGTTTGCTCTTTGTGAAGGGAACAAGGAATTCTGGCCCTACAAGATCCCAAAGAGAGAGAAGCCTGTCCTTTCTGGAGCACACCAGTAGGAAGACAGCCGAGGGGGTTCTCACTAGATGAGACCAGGGACCTGCCCTCTGGTTTGGGCTGCGGGTGCCAGAGGCAGTGCCCTACAGCAGCCCTGGCACCACCAGGCAGTGCTCCTGGGGGCCAGCCCCAGCTCTTCCCTGAGAGTTGATGTCAGATGAGCCCACAGTGTGGAACACAATTGTACACATCCAGAAAGTACCTGGAGGCTCCTTATGAGACCCCAAGAGGTCTATGCAAGAATGAGGATTAAGAAACCAGATTTAGCTCAGTGGTTCTGGCGCCTGCCTTGCAAGCACAAGGTCCTGAGTTCAATCCCCAGTACCAAAAAAAAAAAAGAAAGAAAAAGAAAGAAAGAAACAGGCACGGTGGCATATGCCTCTAACCCCACTACATGGGAGGCAGAGGCACGAAGATTGCAAGTTCAAGACCAGCTGGGCACTTATGGAAATTCTGTTTAGAAATAAAAATTTTCAAAAGGGTGTGTTCTATCCCCATTACTTAAAACAAAACAACCCATCCAAGACTTAAATGGAAGCAACTAGAATGCTGGGGTGCTGGTGAGAAGACACAGTGCTGAGTCCTGGGTCCTCTGCTTTCTGAGAACTTCTGCTTCAGTCAGTTATCAAATCTCCTGAACCAGAGTCCTCCTTTACACAGGAGCGGGGTGGCTCCTCCCGAGAGGTGGTGATGCCAATGACAAATGTGGAGGACATGCCAGGAAGCCATAAAGTGCCTTTTCAGGGGAGACGGCAGTAATAACAACCATGGAAATAATAACATCAGCAATAAAATGATAAGCATGCATTGTCTGGCAAATTCATTTATGTGGAACAAGTCATTTTTGGAGCAGGCCAGAGACATGAGGCGTGACGGTATTACGATTTGTTTTTTGAGTGCTTTTAACTGTACCCAGGGGGTTGTTCAGGTGGCTCCCAGCTGAGCAGAGAGAGAGGCTGCTTGTGCCTTTCATGGCTGGCGGGTCACGGTTTCAGCCCCTCGAATACACACCAGCCTCCCAGCCCCAGCCTCACCTTCTTGCCCTGCCTCCTCTTCGGGAATCTGCATTTGCACTGAGTCTCCCCAGATGGGGTTTCGCGTGGGTTCTGAGGTCACAGAAGTGACTGCCCTGGAGCTCTGCTTGTTGTCTTCCTCAGATGTGGTTTTCCTGGGGAGGGAGGGGCAGGGGGAGTGTGGGGAGGCCTACTCCACTGTTTATAAATCCAAGTGACACTCATGCCACCCTGGGCCCAGGAGACACCAGGCCTGTCCCCTCTGCTGTCCTGCTTCCCTGGTGACCACACTGTCTCACTGGCCACAGCTGAGGCTTCATTGACCCAGGTCTAGGGTGGGGCAGACAGACGCCATGCCTGTCTGCCACCCTGCCTCTCGCCGGGGCTCCCACCAGACACCCGTGTGTGTGGACCCCCTCCTTACCTGGCCCCTCCCCAAGGCTTGGTTCAGGGGAGGAAGCTTCTGACAGCCTGCATGAATGAATGTGCAATGCCTACCTAGCTATCCATGCCTCTTGGTCTTCAATTCCCTAAGCATCTGGACCAGATTCCTGGGATGGCCCAGCTGCCCCAGCTGGGACTCTTAGTGGAGCACACTGCTCTCCTGCAGTGCCTACTGGGTGCCAGGGCCCTGACTGGGCACTCATAGCTGGGCACCAGGGCAGAAGTAAGTGCCCACAGGCAAGGTGGCAGCTTGGCCCTCTGCACTCCTGCATAGCCCCCAGCAACCTGGGGTACATGCCCCGAGATCCAGAGCCACCAGCCAGCTCAGTGAAAGCTAACACTGCTTGTGTCGCAGTATATCCTGTTGGGCTGCAAGTGGTGCTGCTACCTAACCTGGAGTCACCCTGGCACACTGGCAAAGGAGGTGTGGTGCATACATAGTAACCGGGTGGGAAGCAGGGACTGTGATAGTGTCCCCACCAGCCCTTAGCTCACCTCAAAGCCCCAAAACAAGTGTGTGTGGAACAGTTGCCTTAGAAACCCAGATGCAGTCTGCCCAGCACCTCAGCAACACCAGCCTGTAGTACTTCCTTCTCAGCCCAGCAGTGCCCCTTCTCTGAGAAGCCCTGGGATGCCCTGGGCCTCATTGCTGCCTCTGTCCCTTAGACTTCAGTGACACTGCAGCTGACTCCTGTGCCCTGGCTCCTAACCGTTCTTGGGAGAGTCCTAGTGCCAAGCTCTGAGGTCAAAGTAGATCCCCTGCTCTGCTCTGATAGAGAGGTGAGTGGCATAACGATTCTATCAGCATCCTGTAGTCACAGCACCGGGATTCCAAGTCCCAGCTCTGCCCTACCAGCTGTGTGACTCTGGCCAAGGTGCACAGCCTCCCTTGGCATTACTTCCTTCATCTGGGAAATGGGGTGGGCATGGGACCCATCTTGCTGGGTTGGGTGGAAATGAAATGAACACATGAATGTACTGGCTGGCACACTGGTAAGCACAGGAAATGTTAATAATTATTATTAGCATGTAAGTATAAATGAATCCCTTATTATTAGTCAATAGTTTGAAGATCTTGGACTCAGTGGCCCTTCCATGGCCAGCGCCCTTGCCCCTGGCCTGGTTTCTTCCCAGGATGACCCCCAATTCTGGGTCTGTGACTGCGGGGGTCTCTAGCTGCCATGGCTGAGCTGTGGAGCATGGGCTCTGGAGTTAGAGGCTGAGTTTTCCCCTGTATCCCTCCTGGCACGAGGCCTCCCTGATGAGCCTCAGCTCCTCCTCTGTAGGAGGCTGGCTGTGAGCTTCACAAAGAAAAAACCTGTCACTCCTAGGACATAGGTGGCCCATCTGTGCGATCCCCCTGGGTGATAAAACCCAACCTGGGCGATACAACCCAACCTGAGCTTTCCCCAAAGGGAAGAAGGTAAGCACTGAAGGACTGGGGTTGGAGGGGTGTGTCTCCCAGAGAGCCTGAGCACTCTGGACCCATGCCCTTCAGGCCCTGCAGACCTGAGCGTGCTCCTGACACCTGCAGATGGCCGTGGCCCAGAGTGGGGGCTGTGAGCCTGGAGAGGGAGCCACATGAGACCCAGCAGGGCATCAGGGCCCAGCCCACCCATTTGCCCCCAACCCTTCCTCCCAGCTCCAGGACCTTGACTGAGGGTGCAGTACAAACCCTCCCTGCCACTCTGAGCCCTGGTCTCCCTCCTGACCTCCACCCCAAGTCAGAGACCTCAGAGCTCTCAGGGGTCCCCTCCTGCCACAGGCCACTACTTTGCCCTCACAGCAGCTGTGCACTGTGACATTCCTTGGCTTCTCTGCCAGGGACCTGCATGTGGCAGTAGCAGACAGGTGAAAGTGCCAGGTGTGTAAGGAGGGAGGCAGCCTGTCTACACCCCAAATGTCCCCAAACCTACTCCTGGTGGGATATTCAAGTGGCTCTGTGTGACCAGAGAAGATAGAACCAAAGGTGTGAAGCCATAGCAGTGCAGGCAGAGGATTCGGGCTGGACCCTGAACAGTACTTGCTAGCCTGTCTCAGGCCTTCTGATGTCTGTGCCCCTGGTGCCCTCCCCTTCTCCATATGACAGTGGGTAGGGAGGCTGGGCTGGTGGGATGCATTCCAGGTGTTAACAGATGGGAAGAGCTATGAGCCCAGGCCAAGGGCTGATTCCCTCAGGTCTACGAAGAGTTAAGTCTCCCCCTGCCAGTCCCTGACACTCAGAGGTCTGCAGGGCTGGGTGAGGGAGATGGAGCTGGGTGGGAGGGGGAGGCCCCAGGGAGGGGAGGCTTTTAGCAGGTGGAGGAAGCTATCAGGGCAATGGCTTTTCCTGGCACTGCTGACTCCTCTGTGCCTGGATGCAATTCTAGCAACTAGAGAGCAAGAGGGCCTCTGATTGCTCACCAAATAGCCAGGGGACTTGCTCAGTCCCTGCCCCCACCTGCACTGCCAGCTGGGAATGTGGCTGAGTTCTATGCACTGCCCCAGGGCCTGTTGAAGACCCCCATCCCTGCAGGCTGTCTGCAAGGACAGACACCCCCTCCTGCCCCCAAAGATCTGTCCTGGCTCTGCACCCTGGCGCCAGGCAGGCAGGGGCAGGAGCTGACAGTGGTGCCTGCTGTCTTGGGCTCAGAATTAATCCAGCCGCAGCAGGCTGGGACTGAGGGTGGCGTCAGAGGCAGGGTGTGGGTGTCCTGGGCCCCAGCTGCTGGCTGCAGGAGAATATAACTCCAGGGCTCAGCAGGGGTGCATGCGTGTGTGTGTGTGTGTGTGTGTGTGTGTGTGTGTGTGTGTGGGTGGGTGTGTGTGGGTGTGTGTGTGTGTGTGGTGTGTGTGTGTTTGATAAATGCCAGGCCCAAGCCTCTGGTCCCTGGAGCCCCACCCCAGCAGGGTAGAGAGGCCAGGCCCAAGCGAGTGAGATGGAAGAGAACTCAGCTTTGATTCCCCAAGGTCATGGTCAAGAGAAAGTGGGTTGTCTAGTTCCCTGGGGCTGGGACTGTGGAGGGCAGTAGAGGAAAAGCACAGGACACTGATGGAGAGAGAGGGAGCTCACGAGCCTGCAGGGAACACACACACTGCCCTAGGAGGACTCTGGGCCATACCAGACCCTGAGCAGCCTAGAGGTCCTCTAGTCACACCTGAGCTCTCCAGCTGCCCCCCAGGTCCCCTTGGCCTCCTCAGAGCAACAAATCACAAATGACAGTCAAAGTCTGACTGCCTCCCAGGCAGAGCTCTAGAAGCCCAGAACGCAGGTGACCTACCTTTTTCTGGGTGCCAGTCTTAGGGAAGCCTCTAAGAAAACAAAAGAAAGGGAAGGGTTGAGATCCAGGTCTGCTCTGGCTGTAGGATCCTGGCTGGGAAGGCTTCTAGGATGATAGAAAAGACCAGAGGAAACTTCCCAGAAGCCCCTGGGAAGGAAGCAGTCAGGCAGGTGCTGAGCCAGATGACAAAGGGCAGACCCTTAGGTGGATGGGCAACAGGATAAGGGGTTTTGTGACCCTTTGATGTAATGAGCTCAGTGGGGCAACTTGGAAGGAGGTGGGAGAACAGATTCAGGCTGAGTCCTTTGAGCCAGCTGTCCTGTGAAGGTGGGGACATTTCCCTCTTCTGCATCCTCCATGCCAACCTCTGAGCCATGAGAACAGCCTCCCCATCCTCCAGAGTCCATGAGGAGCCAGACTCCTGGGCCACAGGCCTCTCTCTGTCCTTGGAAAGCACTGAAAACTTAATGATCTTTTACCTGAACCCAGAGCCCAGCCTCAGGCATCAGGGACAGGAGTTGGGGAGGGGCCCTCTGCAGAGGGCCATCGAATGGCATGGTCAGAGGCTGAATTCCTATGTCTGAGGCCACCTGGCTGGCCTGGAGAGAGGGCTCTGGGCAGAGGGCAGGTTCACAGAGATGTGGAGGAGGGCTCCCCATGGAGGACAGAGCCTGAGGCTGGGAGCTGGCTCCTGCACAATCAGTCATGGGAGGGAGGGATAGGCTGCTTGGTCCAGTTTCCAAGGGTTTTAGCAGCCTGGAGAGTTCCAGCCTCTCCTTTCCAGGCCACCTGCAGTGTCCCTGAGGCCAAGCAGGCAGGAGGACCAAGCCCCTAGGAATGCTGGGAAAGAAGTACCCAGAGGCTCTTCCAACAGGAGAGGGGCTGAGGTCTGAGGCAGGGAGGGTCCAGCCTGAAGCCTCCTTCTTACCCCTCTTTCATTTCCCCAGATATAGCCCACCATCCGAGGCCTGCACAGCAAGGTCCCCAAGGAAGGTGGCTGGTCCGGCTGGGTTCTGAGTCTCTGGAGGCCCCACTTTTTCCTGTTTGTTTTTGGTACCAGGGATTGCACTTGGAACCTTGCACTTTCCAGCCAGGCAGTGGAACCAATGAGCTAAATCCCCAGCCCTGGAGGCCCCACTTACAGCATGAGCTGGGCATTACTCTTAGCAACGTGGTGGGCTCTCATTCTGGGCTTCATCTATTAATTGGACTCTAATGAACTGTCACTAATTGCTGATGGTGCTACCACCCTGCAAGGGGGCCTCGATTGACAGACTAACTGATTTAGGACTCAGGATCCAGTGGGTATAAGCTGGATGTCAGCATCTATGGTCAATCCATCCCACCTGCAGGGGCCAGGCCCCTCCTCTGCAGGGAGGAAGTCTGCTCTGGAAATAGGCAAGGGCACATTCCAGGGAGCGCTGAGATTCCAAGGAATTCTCTGGTCAAGGCAAACATCTCTGAAAAATAGGGCTGCTTTTCCCCTACCCACACTGCATCTGAGTCACCCAGGTGTTCCCGGGGACCTCTTCATGGGCAGCACGAACCCCTCACCCCACCCACAGCACTCAGGGAGGCAGGTGAGGCAGAGGAGCCTCCCCAGGTGGCCCAGAGAGAACCCAGGAAAGTGAGACTCAGGCCCTATATGTTGGGTCATTTTTTGTCAAATCTACCTTTTTCTGGAAGGGGATTTTCTTGTTTTCCAAAGATACTTCTTTCTCTGTTTGAGGCTGGGACAGTGCAGGGCCCAGAAAAGGCCCTGCTTGCACCACCTGCCAGCCTTTGCAGGGCCTTGCTGTGGTCTGTCCTGTGTGAGGACAGACCCCCATGGCTGGTGAGGTCCTGGAGCAAGAGGGAGGAGGACCTCTGGGGTCAACTCTGGAGCCCATGTGGTGGAGTGGCAGTGCCCTCAGAAGAGAAGGCCTGGGTGAGCCAACATGGAGGCCCTGGCTGTGACTTGGAGTCCTCTCGAGGAAGACAACTGTCACTCTGAATGCCCACTCTCCCATGTGCCACTGTCTCAGTCCCAGGCTGCCTGGGAAGTCAGTGAGCGCCAGGGGAGGGAGAAGGTTTCGGCCACCTACTGTGCCCTTCCAGGCCTGGCTCCTTGGTTCCCATCTTCCCTATCATAATGCCCATGGTCTCTCCCATTTCCCAGGCCAGTCATGTTAGTGCTTGGGCTTGTGGGTCATGGGTTCCCGTCCTGGCCTCTGGCTCTACTGTTACCGATGGGAGGCTCATCCCTTAAACATCCTTGAGCTCAGCTCCTCCCTGATCATCATGCACTGTGTATCTCACCGGCTCCTTATGAACAGCAGAGGCCAGAGGAGGGGAAGGGAACCTGGGGGAGAGAAATCCAGGGAAAGTAGAGTTGCAGAGGACCAGTGGGGTTGGAGCTGGGAGCATCAAAACGTTGTCAGGCCTGGGACAAACATAGACAGTAGCCCGAGGCAGGGGAGTGAATCAGGAGTGGGGCTGGCTGTTCTTGAGGTGAGAAGAAGGGTCCTCCAGCAGGGGCCTGTCAGCCAGGTGTGGTGGCACATGCCTGCTACCCAGGACCTGGGAGGCTGAGGCAGGAGGACTGTGAGTTCAAGTCCAGCCTGAACTATATAGTGAGGCCCTGTCTCAAAATTTTAAAAATAGGAGAAGGAAGAAGAATAGGAGGAGACATGCTGTTATGGTTTATATCAAGCATGTCCCCCAAAGGCCTCGTGCACTCATACGCAGGGCTTTTGGAAGGTGATATAATCATGAGGTGATGATGTATAGTTGACTTGCTGTTAGGAGGTGGGCTCACTCAGGGTATGACCTGGAAGGGTTTATCTCCCTTCTCTGTGCTTCCCATCCAGCCAGGCTGTGAGCAGCTTTTCCTCCACCCAGACCCTTCCACCACGCCAGTCTGCCAGGAAGCCGCCAACCCCGGACTGAAACTCTAAGCTAAAATAGCCTTCTCCTCCTCTGTGCTGCAGGTGTCGGTATTGCATCCCAGCAATGAGGACACGGGCCTAAGTGACTACTCGTGTAAGTAGCGAGGACACACAGCCAGGGGAGGCTCAGAGAGGGAGACAGTGAGGGGCCACCGCAGGGACCCTAACTGAGTAGAGCTGTCTGGCCTGCAGGCAAAAACTGGCTGATTTCACACAGAAATCTGGGTCTTTGGCTTCTCTCAAAAAACAGCAGGCAAGAAAGCCCCCTTCCTCCAGGTCAGAAATTAGGAGGAGGATCCCGGAGGCTGCGCCTCCTTGGAAGCCAGGGTGTCTGGTTTGCCAGTGTCTTCTACTCTGGGTGGCTTCATGGGGAACACAGAGGCAAGAGAGCTGAATAGGGCCCCGGGGCCAGCCCCTGCCCTGTGGCTTTCCTTGCCTTCCCCAAGTGCTAGCCAGTGTGGCACCTGCCCCTGAAGCCCACAGGGGCCAGGCCAGGGCAGAGGGAAGCCAGCCAAGCCTAGAGGGGGAGCAGGCTCCTGGATGGCTGCTCTTCATGTCTGGGAAGGGAGGAGGAGGAGCACTGGCAGCTGCTGCGCATGTTCAGGAATAAGCAGCCTTGAGGAACACAATGGGGTACCAGGAAGGCCAGAGCTTCCCATCACCCAGGCACACTTGCTTCTCTTGGGCAACGCTGCCCCCCAAGAGGTCCCCAGGAGTTCCATGCCCTGGGGGAGAGCTCAGGCTTTGGGGTCTGACTGCAGAGTTGTGGCATGAGAATACCTCAGGGGCGCTAGGTGGAGGTCATGGGGGACATCTAGAAAGAGTCCTTGTAACCTCTGTCAGGCCAGCCCTGCCTTAACCATGGATGCCAGCTGTGTCTACACTCTGTGAGGCAGGAAAGTTTTCACTGATCAAAAATGTGGAGGCTCTGAGCCCTGAGGGGCCAAAGCCACATGGAATAGGTATGGGCAGGAATCAGGCCACAGGGCAGGAGCCTGCAGTGCTGCTGGATTCCCAGGCTCCACCCAGGACCCACTCCAAGCCCATTTCTTTCCCCAACCCTGTCTCTCCCCCATCCTCATCTCTTTTTCCAGGGCATCCTGCTAGGACAGAAGGAGGTTTGGCCTCTTCTGGAGTCAGTGGTCAGATGGGAAGGATCGTCTCCATCCGCTCCACTCCACTGATCAGCCATGTGACCTCCCAATAGTCCCTTCCTTCAGTCCAGTGGGCCTGGAACTCCTGCTACAGGGTTGCTTGGTGAGGCCAGAGTGTGTGGAGACGCGGCTCGCTGTGAGTTTTAGAGTGGGACCACGGGCAAGGGGGGTGGCTTCATTCCTGAGCCTGTCCCATGAGCACTGTCACTACTTTTGTTAGTTGTACTGAGCCTGACCCTCCTATGGCTGAGACAAAGGTCGGTTGTGAGTCATACAGGCCTCTACCCTCTGCTCAGGTCCCTGCCACTGGGGCAGTTGTCGAAGGCCACAGTCACACAGGGAGGACAAGGAGTCCAGATTGGGGGAGAGGCTGCAGAGTGGTCTCTGGGTTAGGGCCCTAATTAATACCAATGGTCCCCTTCCAAGACGGGCAATCGCTTCATGCAAGACCAGTGCAGGCAGTGAGGTGGCAAGAACTTCTAAAGTCTAGAAGTCCGGGTCCTTCCCTGGGCACAGACTGATTCTGTGATGGTGAGCAATCATGGAAATGTTCCTAGCCTTAGGAACCTCATCTGTAAAATGGGAATAATATTACATCTAGCTGATAGGACTGGGTGCCAATTAGTATAGGAAACACACACACACACACACTCACACTCACTCACACCTGGTGTGTTTGCCAGTTCTGTATATGGAAGGGGGTTTCTTGATCTCTCTTTCTAGGACCTCCCACAATTGTCTGCCTTCAGTACCCTCTCCATGAGTCACCAGGAGTCAGGGCCCATGTGAGGCCAGGGCAAGGATCCATAGATCCTCGGAGCATGGGCCTGCCCAGCCCTGACCTGTGCTTCCCCTCTGCCCTGCTGAGCCCAGCTGCTGCACGCACGGAGGAGGCAGAATCTCTTGCTGGGTGCTGGCTCAGTCCCCACTCATTAGCCCTGGGCTGCAGGTACCCAAAGCAGTGGCTGCCAACCCTGACAGCCTTTACCAGCCTTGGGGCAAGGGTCAGAACCACAGACTGCCTCCTGGCTAGCTCCTCACCCCCTGTGCCCATCCTGCCCACTGGTACACCCCACCTGCACCCCGTCTGTCAGTGCCACCTCTTCCTGGTCCCTGCTGTGCTGACTGGCAGGTCTGTCTATGCCAGGCAAAGAGGCAGGTGCTAGACACTGGTCAGGCCCCAGTGCCTTGAGCCAGGCTGTGACCAGTCAGGGGAGATGCACGATTCCATGCTGGGCACTGGCCCAGCCGGTATAGGCATGGAATCTGTCTTGGGCAGCACAGCTGGGTTCTGAAGAACGAGACTGGGACCCAGGCCAGAGCACAAGCACCCGGCGAGCCTACACCATCATGGAGACATGAGGAGAATGAGGCTCAGAGAGGGGCAGGGCCTGGCCAGAGGTCACAACAGCAGTCAGGGGCTTCTGGATTCCAGTCCAATTTCCACCACCACCCTTGACTTTCTCCAGTTTGGTCTCACGTGCCCACGGCAGGCACTGGCTAGGCACTCCTCTCCCTCCCATCGTGCTTTGCATCTGCTGCATCTCCTGCTGCCTGGCTCTTTTGTCTCTGTAGCCCTTCAAAGCCCATTCCCTGGGAGGCAGCCTGGCACTGAAGGGTAGGTAACTCTCCCAAAGTGACACAGTGAGCTAGAAACATGGCCACATCCATTCATTCAGCAATGACTCATTGCCAGCTTCCTATGTTCCTGCTTTTGTGATTCACAATGGGGATGTAATAGTGAGCAAAATGGACCTGGTGGCTGCTTGTGGAAAGCATGGGACTGGGAGATCAGGGAGGGCTTCCTGGAGGAGGTGATGATGGAGGGGTGATCTGAAGAAGGGGCCAGATTATGCTCTGGGGAGGGGAAAGGCATGGGGTGGGAGAGAACAGGGCTCCCCAGAGAACTGAGAGATGCCCCATGGCTAGGGCAGAGAGAGGGAAGTGGGGGAACTAGCAAAGCCCCAACCACCCTGGGCCTGGGATCCTCCTTAATCTGGGAGCTTTCTTTGAAGGGGGGCTTCCAAGGGGGCGAGTGTAGACACCCCAAGAGCAGCTGGGAAAATAGTGCACTGGGGAGCGGAGCTGGTGGAGAGAAGCAGCCCAATCCAGGAGGCAAGAGAGACAGTGACACCTTGGTGATAGATTAAATGGGGGCAAAAGAGCTTGTGACCTCTGGCTCCAGGGTAGAGAGAGGGTAGAGAAAGAGTGGGCGGGTGGAAACCTGAGACAGGCGCAGTTAGTGCCAGAGAAGAGAGAGGGGCGTGGCTGGGGAGGGAAAAAAGACAGGCAACTTGGGAAGCCAGGAGAAGAGAGTGAGCAGCACAGTAGCAATGGCACTGGGCGATGATGCAGGATGAGGTGCCCACTGGACACAGGTGAGCATTGTGGCCACCGGGGACCCCAGAGAAAGCTGTTCCCATGGAGAAGTGGGGTCAGACTGGATCCAGATCAGTGCCTTTGACAGACACAGGCAGGGCCACGGCTGCACCCAGTGGCCTGCTGGCTGGTATGTAACTAGAGGACGCACTCCAAGATCACAGGGGTCCAGACTAGTGCCACAGAGGGGTGAAGGGACTGCACCCCACATAAGCCAGGCCCCATCTTTGGGCCTGCAGCCTCTTCTGCTCCCCACTGATGCAGTGATGGCATGAAAGACATTGGGGCATCCTTAGCCCGGGCTCCACTCCCCAGCAGCATCCCAACTGTTGGCTCACCTACCCGGGAGGTGACAAGCCCTTCTCAGGCTGGGACAACACAGGATGGCAGAGAGCAGGGAGCTAAACCAGGAAACTATGCATACAGCACCAGAAAACAAGGCAACAGAAAGGTGGAGAAATGCTTAGAAAGACTGTGAAATGTACCTATTTTTTTTGCAGCTTTACTGAGGTATTTATATTTCTTTTATATTTTAAAATGCATACCCTGATGGTTTGATACATGTATTATTACGAATCACTCCACATGATCAGGGTACTGAACACATCCATCACTCTCACCAAGTTACCCTTCTCGTGTATGTCAGAGGGAACACAGAAGGTAACCCTTATCAAATCTCACGTACACAACGGTGTCATCAGCTATAGTCACCATGCTGCACATTAGAACTCCAAATGGAAATATTATATATATATGTATATGTACAATATTTTCTTTATCTATTCATTGGTGGATGGAGACAGGATGATTCCATGCCGCGACTATTGTGAATAATACTGCAATGAACATAGAGATGCAGATATCCCTCAAGACACTAATTTCATATTCTTTGGCTCTATATCCAGAAGTTGGAAGGAGAGATCACATAGTAGTTTTAGGTTTTTTTGTTTGTTTGGTTTTTTTCTAAATTTTGGGCACCATTGCCTCCTGAGGATTCAAAGAATGTTATTTTATTTTTATTTTTATTTTTATTTTTTGTTACTGGGGATTGAACTCTGGACCTAGCACTTGCAAGGCAGGCACTGGAACCACTGAGCTAAATCCCCAGCCCAGTAGTTTTAGTTTTTTGAGAACTACCATTCCATTTTGCAGGCTATACCAGTCTTCATTCCCTGCGGTGGTAGCACAGCCAGGCAGGATTCTCTTTCTGTCCTCTCCAACAAACCAACAAATGCTTTGGAGTCTAGCCCTCTTACCAGGTGTGAGGTGTTGTCTCCTCCTGACTTTCATTTGCTTCTCTCTGACCTTGAGGGACGGGAGTGCCTTTTCATATGCTTATTGGCCATTTCTATCTTGTTTGGAAAAATAATCTACTCAGGTTCCTTTGCCCATTTTGCCATTGAGTTGTGAAAGTCCCTCCTCTATTTTAACTCCTTGTTTTTTGGTGTTTTTTTTTGTACCAGGGATCAAACTCGGGACCTTGGGCTTGCAGGTGGTGGGACCGCTGAGCTAAATCCCTAGCCCTTAACTCCTTGTTAAAGATATGATTTGCATGTATTTTCTCCATTCCCCCTCCCTCCACCTTGCATTTCCACTTCATTAACTGTTGTCCCTGCTCTGTAGACCTTTTTAGTTGTAGCTCTAGGTGTTTATTTTTGTTTTTAGGCTCATGCTTTTGGTGTCAAACCCAAAGAAATCATTGCCATGACCAAAGTAAGGAACTTCCCCCATCCCATTTTCTTCTGGGGGTTTGACAATTTCAGATTTTACATTTAAGTATTTATGGATCTTTTTAAAAAGCATTGAAATATTCATTATGAGAAAGTGAAAACTTTACTGGACTTTCTCATGCTCCATGTCTGCTTTGTGGCTGTGCATTGTAATGAGACACAGAGGGCATCAAATTTCTTTCCAGCGCCTGGAGACCGTGGGGGTCCTGTCTTCCCTCTGGGGTTCCCACCTGCCTGGGAGTGGGGAGCCCTGAAAACCACCTTCAGGTTCCGGACAGCTGGGCCGCTCTTGGAAGCCCTCCCTTCTCTCATTTGCATCTCATTAGCACCACCTGGAGCTGGTGGCTGCTCAGCCTGGAGCCCTGGGGCACAGTCTGGACCAGGCCTGGTTTTCAGCTTTCCGCTCAGCCCCCACCCCCACCCCGCCCCGCGTGCCACCGGGAGGGTGCAGGCAGACTGGGGCGTGCCCAGCTCTTCACACCCCCACCCGGGCTCCGGTTGCCTGGGCTCCCAGCAGTGCGTACCCATGGCAACGGGGTGAAGGTGCAGGGTTGCAAAGCCTGCTGAGGAGCAATGGGGCCACCCAGCTCCCCGCCCCTCCACCACCCAGGCTGGCTTGGTGACAAACAGGCCCTCAATCTCCTGAGATGATCAGCGATAATTGGTTTATGGAAATAGTGGAGGGGTGCTGGCCGGCGAGCTCTCAGCGAGGAGCCAGCCTCTGCTCCCTGCCACCTGTCCCTCCCTTTCCAAGCGGACGGAGTTGGGGGAGGGGAGGCCCAAGGAGCCAGGCTGTGCACATGAGGCTCTGGGGTCCAGCAAGGTAAGCGTGTCACCTGTTGGTCCTGGCACAGCATCTCTGCCCCTTCCCTGAGGTCATCCTAACCCCTTTAATCTTGGCCCCAAGTCTGGGCTCGGACCTAGGCTGAGCACACTGCTGGAGAAATGGAGGATGAGCCTCGGGACAAAAGAGGAGCATATAAACCGCATTTATATAACGTCAGACTAGTGCTCCCACTGTCGTGGGACTCCAGAGGAGCCAGTGCTCAACCCTGGGGGCTGCCTTGAGGAGGAGTCCTGAGCAAGGCTTTGGGGTACAGTTTCGGTGGGTGCTGGAGAGAGGGCTGGGGCAGGCACTCCCCAAAGGCAGGAGCTGAATGATGCTGGCCTAGAGGAGGAGGGGAGATGGAGGGGAGCCTGGTGGGGATTAGAGCTCCTGGGGGAAGGGGGTCCTGCAGGACTTTACAGTAAAGGCTGAGCCAGGCTGGCTGGCACGGTGATGCCGCCTCTGGGATTAGTGAGACTGTGAGGTGGGGAGGAGACATGGTATGGAGGTCTCAGGTACTGTTCAGGGGAAGGACCAGGAGCCTCAAGATGGAAAGGACTGGGGAAAGGTGGGGGGCCAAGGGTGGGGGTTGTGAGGACCCCTGGCCACTTGGGCATGGTGGGCTAGGGCACCCAGAGGCCAGGAGAGGGGACCCCAAGTCTTCTCTTTGACCATCACCTGCCACTGAGCCCAGCCCAGGCCTCTGCAAGTTCCAGCTGCGGCCAAGCCCTGCCCAGCTGCTTGTGAGATCAAGAGGTGGCCCCCTGGACCCCTTGATACCTTTCCTCCCATCTGGAGAGCCACAGCCCCTTCGAGACTTCTCTGGCTGTCACAGTCTAGGTCCTGAACCTTCAAAGACCCATTTCCAAATACCCATCCCCTAGTTTCTGCTCACAGTGCCGACACCACCCCTGCCCCTCCTCCAGCTACTTACACCACCACATAGGGACATGGCTCCGAGCCATCCGAGCACGCAGGGAGGTTGGTAGCCCCATGCAGAGTGACCTCAATGGTCTCCTTATTGGAGGGAGACAGGTGGCTGATGTCAGGCGGTGTGCTCTGGGGGACATTCGGGGCCGGGCCCTCAGTGACCTGTGGGGAGAGCTGGGACTGAGTGAACTCTTCCTCTAACCTCTACCCCCCATTCCTCAAGTCTCTGTCACCCTGGCCACACACTACAGGGCAGTCACCCTTGAAGCCACTCTCTCCCTGCCACTGTCCCATACCCTGCAGTGTTCCCCAGTGTTTCCCTTCCTCTCCCCAGGCCTAGAAGTGTCCCGTCCTGCAGCAGGAGACAGGCCACCTCATCTTTTAAGCCCAGTGCCACTTCCAAGCCTCAATGCTTCTCACAGCCTAGTGGTTGGCCACCTGTCACCATGGGTCTGTCATGTGCACAGCACTTTATAGTTTACAAAGCATATCCCCCGCTGTGAACTCTCCGAATACTGGTGGGGACAATGATTGTATCTGTCTCAGATGCTCATCCACTTTCTACCCAGAGGACCTACGCAGGAGGAAGCAGGGTCCTGGTCCGCTCCCAGTGCTGCCTGGCTCCTGACTCCCATCCTTTCCTGGAGTGACCCTTGCTAGACCTGCCCTGGCAGGAGGCCACCTGCCCTTTGCCCTCCAGGTGTGATGAACTGATGAGGGGCCGTGGGCTGCAGATGGGCACCGTCAGGACAGCTGGGTCCCCCGCTCTGCCTCTACCCACTGTGGGACTTGGGCCACCGTGCTCTGAGGGTGGCTTTCCCCAATGGGACATGAGGGCTTGGACCAGCCTGTCTGGACCCACCTTGCACTGGGGATCTGGGCACAGTGCTCCCTTGCTGGCTCTAGGAAGCCTCAGACACAGGGAAGAGAGGGGCCGAACACTGAGGCTCTGCTCAGCCCTGAGGACCTTTGGAGATGTGACCTCCTTCAGTTCTCAGGACAGTGGTGTGGGAGGCCTCCCAGGAGCCACGAGGCCCTTGATAGCTCCCCTGGGGTTTCCTGTCACCCCAGAGCAACAACCCGAAGGCCACCCCTTGATTCCTCCAACATCTCTTCCTCCTGTCTGCCCCACTTGGTGATAGCCACTCCAGGCTTCTGGTAGCTCTAGGCCCAAACCTTGGAGTCCCAGATTGTTCTCACTTCTTCTCACTTCCTGTCGGCTCGTCTTTAGACCATCTCTAGAGTCTGTCCCTTCCCAGCACATCCATGTCAGACACCGGGTCCAAGAGCCCAGGGTGTCTGCCAAGCCTCCTCATCGTTGCTTCTTTTCTTCTGGCCCATCTCACACTGCAGCCAGAGTCCTCTGCAGATGTAAGTGGCTCCTCTGCTCTGGATCCTGCTGTCACTCCTTGTTTCTCTCAGAGCCCATGGAGGCCCAGGAGACCCTGCAGGACCTGGGCCAGGAACCGGCTTCACCTTGGCCCTGGGCCCCTTGCTCCCTCTTTTCCGGCCACACTAGCTTCTTGGCTGTTTCTCGATCACTCCTGCCTCCCAGCCTTTGTCCTGGTTGATCCTCTGCCTGGACAGCTCTTTACAGATTTCACAGGGAAGGAGGGGCCCATCATCCCTGTGGCTTACTTCTTTGCTTCCTCTGGCTTCCCTGTGCAGGTCCTTGCCTAACAAGATGCCTCATTAGGAAGTGAGAAGACGCCCCACCCCAGGCCCAGCGGGGCTGTCACCATCTGCAGTGGTACTGATGAGTGTCCTCTCCTCCATTCTTCTGCGGGGCCAGGTGGGAGGAAGGAGGGAATCCCTGGGGTGGAGTGGCCACAAACCATGCCTCCCCTCTTAGCCTGACCACTTCCCTCCTGGCTTCCTTCGCATTGCTCCCCAGCAGGTCTGTCTCTTGGTTTAGTGGTTGGGGACCAAGACTAGCAGCCTTTGGGGCAAGAGATATAGATCTCAGCTAGCTCTGTCCAGCTCTTTTTTCCACCTCTGAGCCTCAGTTTCCCTCCCTGCCAAGCCTGGACTGGCTTTCGACTTAGCCTTCCCAGCAGCAGGTGTGCCCATGGCTCCTGCAGGAGGCCTGGAGTGGAGACTAATGTCCCTTCACACCCTGACCTTGACTCCCTTCATTATTGTGAGTGAGTGGGGCCAGTCATGGGGTTTCTAGTTGCCACAGAGGCAAGGGCCCAGAAGCATTGAGGTCATCCCTGGCACTCTGGAGTCCAGCCAGGCCTCCATGGCCTCTGCTAACTTGGGCACAGCCTTCCAGGAATGCAGCCTGCAGGGGCGGTGTTGAGAACAGCTCCAGCACTTCACTCCGACCTGAGGCCAGCTAGCAGGCTGGCGCCTCCTGGCGAGGCCTGCAGGCCTGTGCCCACTGTACCCACTGGGCAGGTTGGGACAGGGCCAGGGAGGCCTAGGCCAAGGAGGAGAACTGTGGTGGGGACTGAGGGGCAGGGTCCCAGCCTCCCTCCTTCTCCCTTTAAGCTTCCTGCCTCCCCAGGCTTCCCTCAGATGTCCCTGCATCAGGACAACATCCTCTGCCTGTCCCCGACTCTGCCCAGCACTAAAAAATGTACTAGTGCTGACTTGCACGTGGAGGAGTGAATATGGCTGATGGTGAAGTTCCCCTAAATCTCAGATCATAAAACCCAAGCAGGGGGTGGACTGAACCCCAGGAAAGAAATTCCCTTCCCCTGAGTGTCCCCACTAGCTGGGTATAGAGCTGGGGCTCACACTGGCTTCTCAGGCCTACTCTGGACCCTCCCACCCAACACTACTAGGGGCAGAACTCAGCAGCCCACTCTTCCAGGGCACACTGCCCACAGATAGCATAGCTGGGTCAGTGCTGAAGCCTGCTGATGCCCAGGTATGGCGCCTGGCACCCTGAGCCACAGGGAGGCTCAAAAGTTACTAATTCTAGTGACTTGCCCATTCAGACAGGTAGATTTGCTCTCAAAAAGCAAGGAGTAGCAGCAGCTATTCTAGGGAACCTGGGATTGTCTGTCACGCAGGTCATTTGGGGATGTGTGTGGATAGGATGGAGGATGGGATGGCAGTGGAGGGGTTAATGGCTCTTTCAGTTCAGCTCCCAGCAGGGCTTATTCTGGGGCAAGGATGGAAGGAACCCCCCCCACCCCCGCCACTGCATCTCCCTTGCCACTTCCCAGCAACCAGAGGGTGGGCTTTAGACCTGGGGGCTGCCTGGATCTGTTGTTTCTTGCTGTTAGACTCCAGTGGGCTTCAGTTAGTGCATGGTTAAGCAACCAGGGCCAGGGCTGGGACTGGAACCAGAACCTGCTGAGCCCCTAGACCTTGAGGCCTCTGCTCTGCCTTCTGCCTGCACCTCTGGACATGGCTCGTTCTCTGGGCTGCAAGGTCTACCATGCAGGCCTCTAACCTGGGGATTCGTTAGTAGGTCCAGAGTTTGTGGCATCTGAAGCAGGAGAGCCTTTTCAAAAGATGACATGGGGCTGGCGGTGTGGCTCAGTGGTAGAGCAACTGCCTAGCATGCACAATGTGGAGAAAAGAAGACATGAAATTCAAATCATAAAGAAAGAATTGATAGGCTTGATTGTTTGACTATATTTTTAAAAACCCATACCAATTTTTATAATGGCCCAATTTCACCACAATGACTCCCAAAAAAGACAAACAGGAGAAAATTGCAATAAATAAAAAGAATTAATATCCTTAATACAAAGAGCTCTGACATCTATAAAGATCACCCAATAAAAAGACAGGGCCTGGGATTTGCAGAAGAAGAAATATGAATATATACTACTATATAAATGATGAACATCTTTTATAGAGGATTCTACCCAGCTATTAAAATGTTTCCCACAGCTAGAAATCAAATCAAATGGATCTGGCTCCTCCTCAGGGCCCCTCACACTTCCTGGGTCCCTGCATCTGCTGCTACTTAGGGCTCCAGTTAGGCCAGGCTGGTCCCCATCCTGAGTGTATGGCAGTCCAAGGAGAGGCTTAAATAGGAGGGTGGCATCTGGACAGAGAACAGGAGGGCTGAGAGACATCTGAGCCAAGAGTAGTAAAGGTGGAAACCACTCTGGCTCCCGGGCATCCCCAGGTATCTGGTTTATTTGACCTAAGGATATGGCTACCAGAGGCTGTTCTCAGGGAGCCCATGCTACCTGTGTGCCTTTGGCCTTAGCTCTTTCTGCTATCCCGGTGGGTAAGTGACGCTGTCACAGGCTTGACATTGCCAGTTAGCAGAAGGTAAGGAAGCTCCTGTGTTGAACTATTGTCATATTGTTGTTGTATTGAGGATCTAGTCCCCTCCTGGCAGGCCCCGTTCCTCTGCCATAGAATTTTATTAAGCACCTACCAAAAAAACCAAAACAACAAAAAAACTGCTTTCTCCAGGAGTTGGAGCACCTGTGTCCCAGCAGGGGGCTTGGGCCTGGGAAAGTCAGGATAGGAGCTCTGTGGGCATGGAGGCCACTTCCAGGGATGTTATAGGGGATGAGCCACTTCGGTGGGCTCTCTGAGCCCAGCATCCGGGGCAGAACCGAGCAGGGAAGGGCAGTCCCAGTTGACCCCTCCAAAAAGCAACATTTCAATTCCCACAGGGCCCAAGGAGGGTCTGAGACCACCTTGCTCCCCATTTCACAATTGTGAAACCTGAGACCCATAGAAGGAACATTTTTGTCACAATTTAGGAGCAAGCAAAACAAAGGACTATGCAGGAGGGATGGGCTCACATAGGTGCGTGGCCTCTGCACCTAGGCCTTACTTTGTTCTTTTTCCGGCCCATTCTCTCAGGGCAGGTGCATCCAGCCTTGTCTATCAAGCTCCGAGACCAGTGTCTGGGTCTGGGTGGGTGACTGGGTGTCAGTCCTTCCCTGATAGGTGGCTTGGGGACCTCAGTGTTAGTGTGGTCTCAGGACTGCCATACACCAGCTCTGGGCTGAGCCAGGAAAAGGGAAATGTGGGCAGTGACAGTGTCTGGATCTTTCTCAGGAAGGAGAGGTTCTGTGGGTGAAGCTGGGAACCTTCCAGAAAGGTGAAGAGAGTTTAGCCTCTCTCTGGCCAATTCTGGAAATACAATGAGCTTTTCTATCCAGCTGGGTCACCTGGCAACACTGTGTGACATCACAGCTGAGTCACACAGGCCCCTGTGCAGGAGCAGAGGGTGGAATCAAGCCCTTCTCTGTCTCCCTGGAGCTGCTGCCTGCTTTCTGGCATCCTCTCCACCCCCTCCCAGCCTTGGTACCCATGGCCTCAGCTGCACTGTTTGCCCAGGCCTACACTGCTCCCAATCCCCCAGAGGGGACCCAGCATTGCCTTCATGGCAGTCGGAACTCGGTTTGGAAAACAGCTACTTCTGCTAAAGAACCAGAGCTACCCTCTGTGGATACCTGTGGTCTTCCTCGTGTTTAATAATTACAAACACACGTCGCCTGCCTCGCAGGCACAAGGTCCCAAGTTCAATCCCCGGTACCCAAAATAAATAAATAATAATAATTACAAACCCAAAATTTAAGAGGATGGTTTCATCTTGGAGGGTGGGCTGGAAGACTGGAGAGAGGATGGTGAAAGACATGTAAGTGGATACATTATTAGTGACATTCTGCTTTTTGGGTTAGGTGGTCAGTTAAAGGGAGTTTTTAATAGAGCAGTGCCCCCTTAACTGTGTCTTTTGATTGATAGTCTCTCAGAGTCAACTACCATGACAGGGTTTATGTCTGGATGTCCCCCAAGAGCCTTATGTGCTCATAGGTGGGGCTTTTGGTGGGGGATTGGATCATGGAAGCTTATAGCTGGCTTGCTGTTAGAAGGTGGGGCCTAGTGGGAAGAGGTGGGTCACTGGGGGCGTGGCCTGGATGGGTTTAATCTCCTTCCCTGGCTCCTCCCTTGTCTCTCTGCTTCCTGTCTGCCATGTTGTGAGCAGCTCTCCTCTGCCAGCCCCTCTGCCATGATGCTTCTGCTTGGAGCCAGCTGACCATACAAACACTGAAACTTTTAAAACATGAGGCAAAATAAACCTCTTCTTTAAATTGTGGATGTTGGGTATTTTGTCCCAGCAATGAGAAAAGTAAGCCATACAATCTGAAAATATTAAATGGCCATGTCCAGAAATAATAATTCATAAGTTTCATAAGTAAATTTAAGTTTCATAAGTAAATTTAAGTTTCATAAGTAAGTTAAAATTTTAATACAGTGTATCATTGTGGTCATTCTATTTTTTTATTAAATTCTTTTATTGGTACATTGTAGGTACACAACACAATTACATTTCTCACTGGGAATCGTACCTTTACATGATGCATCTTGGTTCTTATTTTTTCCCCATTCCTAGCCCTCCTTTCACGCCCTCCACCCTTCCCTATTTACAAAGACTTTATTTCCATTTCTCAGCATTTTTCCTTTCCCTTCTTTCCTTTCCCCTGCCCCTCCCACTACCCCTACCCCTTTGGACATTTTCTTCCTATTGTACATTTTCGATTATTCATTCTCATCATTGGTACATTTTAGGTATACAATATAATGACATTTAGCATTGGAAATCTGCACCTTTACATAGTCTCTCTTGGTTCTTATTTTTCACCCTTGCCCAGCCCTCCCTTCAACCCCTCCAGTCCTCCCTATTTACAAAGATTTTGTTCCTATTTTTCCATTTTCTCATATTAATCCCATTCCCTTCTATCCTTTCCCCTAGCCCTCCCACTTCCTTCCCCTTTGCCTCTTTTCTTCCTATTTCACATTACCTATTATACATTTAGTCCTTACTTACACTTTCAGTTTCTCATACCAGAGAAACTATTCAGTATTTACACATGTGTGTCCTATTTATTTCACTTAAGAGTATCACCTCAATGTGCATCCACTTAGCTATAAATGTCTCTAATTTCTCATTTTTTATGGCTGAGTAGTACTCCATTTTATTAAAAAAAAAACCCACATTTTCTTTCTCCAGTCTCCAGTTGATGGGCATTTGGGCTGTTTCCAAGTTTTAGCTATTACAAACTGTGCTGCTATGAACATGGGTGCACATATATCACTGTGGTATGATTCTTTTAATTCTTTGGGGAAGATCCCCAGCAGGGGAATAGCGGGGTCAAATGGGACTTCCAGTCCTAGTTCTTTGAGGTATCTCCATACTGATTTCCACAGTGGTTGCACCAGTCTACACTCCCACCAGCAGTGGAGCAGGGTTCCTCTTTCCGCACAGCCCTGCCAGCATTTGTTATTGGTGGATTTCATGATAGCAGCCATTCTTTCTGGAGTGAAGTGGAATCTCAGCGTTGTTTTCATTTGCATCTCTCGATGGTCATTCTATTTTATTATTAGTTATTGTTAATCTCTTACTGTATTAATTGATTGATTACTTATTATTTGTGTGTGTGTGCGTGTGTGTGGTACCAGGGATTGAAGTCAGGACCTTGCCCTTGCCAGGCAGGCGTGGCGCCACTTAGCTACATCCCCCGCCCACTGTACCTCATTTATAAATTAAACTTTTTCATAGACGTGTATGTATAGGCAAAAACATAGTAGGGTTTGGTACGATCTTCAGTTTCAGGTGCCCACTGGGGACCTTGGAACACAAGCCCTGTAGGTCAGCGGCATGACTACTTTATTCAAAATAAGTTGTAATTAAAGAGGGCCATGTATGGGCCAATAGCAGTACTAGAGTATGAAACAAAGATGAAAGAAATGATTGCAAAGAAACAAATCTTTTCATTAAGCACTAGCAACATGCCAGGCAAAGTGGGAGGATGAGGACAACTAGGTGGGGGGGCTGCTCCATGGAGACGGGACAAGTGGGCTGGGTTAGAAAAGGAGTGCTGGGAGCCAGCTTTGCCTAGGGCCCCCTGGGGCCTCTAGCAAGCCAACTGTAGTTAAGGGAGACTCACTCCCAGGCTGTGCGAGCAGCCTGGAAACATAACTGTGGCCTGCCTTACTGCGGCCCTGGTCCTGCCCCAGAGCACCTCTCCAATTCCCAAAGCTCTGGGGTGGCCCCTAGCTGCCCTGCCTGGCACCTGAGCTTCCTGCCTTGGAGGAGGGCAGTGCAGCTGGGTGTTTGTTCCGGGCTGCCTGGCTCCTGAGTGCTGGTGGTCTGCAAACATGGCAGCTACCAGCAGCCACTTCTGTCCCTGCCTCCTCTTGCCTGTGTCCATCTCCTTGGACCAAGGAGCCCAGGGACCCTGGCTCCAGTGCTTTTCCTATCCTCCCCCACCCCAGTGAGAAGGCCTTGCACTCCAGCCACCTCACCTTCTCTTCCTTCTCTGCTCCTCAGGTTCCTTGGGAAAGGTGCCTGCACCCCAAGTATCCTGAGGAGCTTCTGCTGCCCTGCCCAGGGCCCAGCCCCAAGCACTGATGAGTCAGTGTGATCTCAGGTAATGATTAATCGCACAGCTAATTGATAACCCTGCTCCTACTGGTGCCCCCCAGGAGGGAGCACTGAGGTTAAACGCACCATCAGGGAGCCCAGCTAAGGCAGAGGGAAGGCCTGGGGGTCAGATCCCAGGGAAGGAGGACTCTTGCTTCCTCCTTGGGTTTTCCCTAGGCCCACTTGGCACAAGATGATGCTTGTATGAACATAGCTGTCCATGTCCCTCCTGCTGAGCCTGGGCCTGGATCCCCAGAAAGAGGCAGCCCTGGGGGCCCACAGCCCAGGCAGCAAGTCTCAGGGAAAGTTCTCTCTCAGAACTCCCTGGGTTGGCCTTCCCCGGCCCCGTGGTCATATCCATGCCCACCCCACCACCACTACTCTCCATTCCTCTCCACTTTCACTGGATGACTGAGTTGGGTGAGGTGGGAAACACATGCTCTGGACCCCACCCCACAAGCTGACCCCAGGTGACCACTTCAATGGTTCTGGTCTAAGTTGCTAGGTTTCCCAAGCTGGGTTCAAACTCACCATCCTCCTGCCTCAGCCTCCCAGAGTGCTGAGATTATAGATGGGCACCACCATGCCCAGCCTGTTCTCTCCTCTTGGCCCTTCAGTGAGGGCTCCTCACAGTTCCTACCCCCAGGGAACACACCCTTCCTCTTTCTCCTCCTAAACCTCACCCTCAACTTTGCAAAAGGTCCTTATTAAATTCTCCTCAAATCCCCAAGCAAGAACGCCTTTTCCCTGCCAGACCCTTCTCTGTGGGCCTCAGCTCTCACCTGCTGTGTTAGCATTGCCACCACCACCCTCACCACCAGCACCTACGCAGACCCGCAGTGAACAATCGATCGCTCACTACGTGCTGGACACCCTATTGCAGTTGTACCTGTGCTGTCTTGCTTGAACCTCACGTTCACATGCCCAGCAGTACACATTCAGGAGTAACTGGTGTTCTCCACGTTGCAGACTAGGACTCACATGCTCTGGGAAAAGGGTCCTGCCCAAGGCCACACTCAGCTGGGAAGCAGCAGACCCAAGACTTCAGTCCAGGCTTGCTTGCTAGAAGCCTGTGATTGTGGTCACAAAACCACCTGCCTTTCCTCTCCTTCTGGGGAGAGGAGTTGGTCTCCTTCCTTCTCTCCAGAAACTGGAGCAACATGAACAAAGTCAAGCCTTGTCACTCACTCACTCATTTATTCATTCATTCGTTCATTCATGCAGGGGATAGAACCTAGAGCCTTGCATAAGCTTGGCGAGTGCTCTGCCACTGGTCTGCACCCCCAGCCCTGCCTGTCCTTTTGAATAAAGCCAGAGAGATGGCCCTGGGACCTTGCAGCCCAGATGCTGGTACCAGGAGAATGAGATGACCTGTGCTGGAAGTTCAGCTGGGCATGGCTGGGAGGTGGAGGGAAGCAAGGACAGAATCCGGGTCTGGAGGAGGCTGGTGCACACAGCACAAGTGGGTCATTGGGATCCTGAAGCTGTGGGGCTATGACCTCAGGCTGTGCATGTTAGCACTGAGGCTGCAGGCTCTTGTCCCACAGCCTGTCAGCCTCGTAGGCCAAGGGGACTCTGGGAGATCCTTCTGCCTGCCCAGGTCCTTGCTATGCAACGGTGACCTAGGCTAAATGGCTGTGGGCTAAAATCCATGGGTACCCCAGTTTTGTCTCAGACCCTGTTCTGACCTTGTCCCTGCTGCCCTTGGTTCTTGTGGGCTCTGGCTGCTAGGACAGTCTGGCCCAATACCGCCAAGGCAGAAAAGAATTAGGTGGGAAAAAAGTAGAATCCTCGAATCCCACAGGCCCTGGTCTATCCCTGGCTCTGCCAGGCTGGCAGCAGGTACTCGGGCAGTCACTCCACACGTCACTTACACTCTGAGGCCTCAAAGTCCTCATCTACTAAGCAGATCTGCAAGCAACGTGGAAGTGAGGGTCACACAAGAGAACAGATGCCCCATACAGAGCGGGCTGCCCCCCAAACGAGCTTTCCCTTCCCTTCCCACCAGTTTATGTCCAAGGGACACCCCCAGGGCCCAGCCCTGGTGGCAGGAGCCTGGGGAGTGACTGAGAGGGTGTCACATTCTTGTTGGTGAGCACTGCTTCCATTGGCCTAGCAGGCACTTTTGCTGATTGCTAATGGAATGGCTTTTCTTAGTGTTTGGTAACCAGAACTCCCATTTAAGGCAGTGAGATCCCTTCAGCAATTCATAAATCACTTTGCTAAATATGCAAAGTGGCTGTGGGGCATTTTTCTTTTAAAAAAGTCAATAATCTCATTAACAAGAGATTGGATAAAAAGGTAAACCTTGACACTCCCCACTTCACTTCCATCAGGAGGGGGCAGAAGTGGCATTCTGCCAAGGTCTCCGGGGTCCACTCAGAGGGCAGTAGGCTCCATCAGTCTTCAGCAAATCTGTGTCCCCTCTACCATCACACAGATCCAACCAAGTCCTTCTGTGGCTTCAGTACTTTGGCCCCTGGGTCTGCTCACCTGAGGAGCCTCCATCTTGGCTCACTGATCCCTACCTCACACCCATGTTCTGGCCTCACGACACACCTGTGGTCCCCCTATGTGGGCAGGGGGTCTCTCCAGCTCCTGGGTCTTCATGTTCACTGTTCCATCTGCCTGCCAGCCCTCCTGCAGCAGCTTGAGTACTTCACAGTGCTTCTTCAAGACACAAGATGGCCCCACCCCCACCCAGGGCCATCAGATCCACAACCCTGGGGCCTTCCCCTAACCTGGCTCGTGACCCTCTGTTCATTTCTCTGGCACAGGTCTGTCTTCCTTAAGAGCAGGGACTGTGTCTGGGTGTTGGCATTGTGTCTCCAGGGCCCAGCCTGTTGCCTGGCACTAGGTGAGTACTTGTGGAATGAGTAATGGATAATATCAGTGGTAGGTGGTTTCCTTCTCCTTGTAACTGCAGTGTGGGATGTGCTGCCTGCTCCCAAAAACCTTTCCCCTCCAGACTGCAAGCCCTCAGGGCCTCTCTCATGATAGGGGGTGAGTAGTGTCTATGCATCTCACCATCATGGCTGATAGTCCCAAGCATTGTACTCTGCACTTCACACATGTTGGTCCTCACAGCTCCATACAAGAGAGTTACTCTTATAGACAGACAAGAAAACTAAGGCAGAAACAGGAGCAGATGAGACCAGCTTCAGACTCATGGTGTTGGGCTTATTCCAGCCTTCTCTTACTGAAGAACTTGGCTTGTGGGGATCCTGGGGATGCGCAGGTGAGCTGGCCCCAAGCACCCCACCCACAGGACAGGATGAACCAGCAGGCCCAATGGCTCAAGTTATAGGAATCTGCTTATTCAGACCAACTGGGCCTGGGCTCCCTCCCTCTCAGACTCCCTGCTCAGTGCTGGTCACCATTGCCCCCGCTGCCTGCCTACTGTCTCTACCAGAGAGCAGAGCCTCTGGCCCTAATCGCATTTGAGGCCAGGAAATCGCATTTGCAGTGTATTAATGCAGCGTAGAGCTGGTCCAGCCCTCCTGTCTGCTGGAAGAGAGAGGAGCCTAGAAAGCAATCTCCTGGGGAAGGATGTGTCTCCAGGAATGCCCGCCCGCCGACAAAAAGCAATTATGCTTCAAGAGGAAGATTCAAATGATGTCTATACCCCCATACCCACTGAGGGCTTCAGCTGCATCCTGCCCAATGTGACTCAAGTCAAACTTCCTGCTAGGGGAGGCCTGGGTCCCCAGGGCTGAGCCTTCCCCTGCCTTGCTTATGACTTCCCCAGAATCCCCAGGTTCTCCAAAGAAGCTGCACACTCTCAGTCTTCTGTGTTGTTGCCCAAGCTGCTCATCTGCCTGTGCCACAGCCCCTAACCCTGTCTCCCTGGCAAGCTGCCACTCACTTGCCTAACGATCAAGGCTAATGGGCTCTGAGCACTTGCCACATTCTTTAAAGTTCTTTAAACGTACTAGATATGCAGTTCATCGCTCCTGTCAGGGGAGGATTGTTATTGCCAGTAACAAAGGAGGTGCTGACAGGTTAAATCCCACTTCTGGCTGGTGGCAGAACAGGGATTAAGGCGAACTTTCCACTACTGTCCTCCCTGCCTCCATCCTGACACAGGTACAGTTGGCCCTCAGGATCTGCGGGTTACATGTCTGTGTATTCAGCACCCTCGGATTGAAAAGATTCAGGGAAAAACTGGAGCTGGGAGTATAGTGCAGAGGTGATGTAAACACAGCATGCGTGAGGCCCTGGGTTTGATCCTCAGCATCAAAAGAAAGAAGGAAGGGAGGGAGTGAGGAAGAAAAGGAAGGAGGGAGGGAATAAATTATATCTGTATTGAACCTGTATAGCATTTCTCAATCATTACTCCCTAAACAATAGAGTGTAACAACTATTTACATGGCCTTTGCATTGTATTAGGTATTTAAATCATCTAGAGATGATTTTAAAGCATATGGGAGGCGGTGTATAAGTTAGATGCAAATACTACACCATTTTATACAAAGAACTTGAACACCTACAGATTGTGGTAGCCGAGGAGGTCCTGGAACTAAGACAACTGTCCTGCCACCCTCTCCGCTGTGTCTTTAGCCTCCCCAGGGAGGGCTCATCTGTGTCCCCTCCTACACCCAATGACTGCATGAGGTCTCTCCATGGCGCCTTTGACCTGAGAGCCTCAAGAGGCCAGGCCTGGCGGAGAAGCAGCACTCCACACACATTTCCTGCATGGAAGAATCTGCAACACTACCCTGTGGGCCACAAGGTGGGAGGCATGAGTCCAGGCTGCCTTTCCAGGCTGCCTGTGTTCTGGGAGTCTTTGGAATCCCCTCTCCTCCAAGAAGCCCTCCTGGACTACAGTGCAGCTAGCATATTAATCCTAACAAGCACGTTGGAGAGTACACATCATTACCCCTTCCTACAGAGGAGCAGACAGAGGGCCAGAGACGAAAAATGACTTACTCAGGAGCACTCACCATGAGGTAGAGCAGGAATCTGATTCCAAGCCTGAGTCCAAAGGTGTGTCCATGGCACCCTCAGACAGGGTAAGAGATTAGGTCTGGGCTGCAACATTCATGTAACACTTTTTTTTTCTAAATGTCATTCCTGGCTATGGTGGGTCCAGGGTTTGTCCTGGGTCCTGAGCCACTGACAGTCCTATTTCCACCCCAGCCTTTCTCCTGAACTATCCCGTGCAATGAGCACTTGGTGTGGGGCTCAGCAGAACACTGGATACTCTGTCTTGGCTGTTCTTGGTTTGATATAGTTCCATCAGGAAGAAATCTGCTCCCTGAAACTGCTTCCCAATCCTGTAAGAGTCCAGAAAGCCCAGCATCAGAGCTCTATTCCAATGGGCAAGGGACAGCTTGCAAAGTGTGAGTCCCCTGGGAAGGGATGGTCTAGGGCACGCCCACCTGTGTGATGATTGGAGAACCCCCTGGAAAGGGATGCTCTAAGCCATGCCCATCTGTGTTGATTGGAGGCCAGAAAGACCAAAGCCTGTCTGGGTATCTGGATTCCAGCCTGGCCTTGCTACTTACTCCCAGGAGACTTTGGACAAGCCATTCACTTCCTCTAGGGGCTCACTTCCTGCCCCCCAAATGGGCACTGCCAATGGTACCCTGCCCACCTCTTAAGACTGATGCTCCAATGGGCCTTGCAGGGACCCGAGGGCATATGAGTCCTGCCTTTGCTAGCCTGGCTCAGAGCAGCCTTCACTACAGAGGGAAGGGCATGGGGCTCGGGGCTCTTGGAGATGACACCGTCCATCCATCCTCTGGGTACTCCTACCTCTCCCCACCCTGCAAACCTTCAATCTGTGTCCTGATTTCTCCTGATTTGCTCTCCCCTGCATACCCCACATTCCAGTCTCTGCCCCTTTGCTTTTGCTGACTTCTCCACTAGAAACCTGTCTTCCAGGGGTCTGCTGGACTCCCACCTGTCCCTAAGAGGGCCTCAGCCTCTCCTGATGTCTGTGAGCTGGGCTGTAATGCATCACCCTCATCCTCATCAGCCAGGCAGCTCCCTGTCCTTATGCAGATGAGAAATTCCAGGCCCCAGGAGGAAAGTGACCTACTCCAAGTCATTGCTGCTCTCTGCTCAGATGCAACTGGGAAGTGAGGTTCTAAGCCAAAGTTCCTGACTCCTGGCCAGACCTGTTTCCTATAGCAGACAGATGGACAGAGTCCTTTGTGACCACTCTGCTCGTCCATAATTGGGTTGGAAAGGCACTGTTCTCTGCTCCTATTCTCTCCCTCTGCCCAGCCCGGCAGCTCCCCATGGCCCTGGCTGACAGCAACCTAATTTCCCACTTGGGAGGGTGAATGGATGGATGAATAAATGAATGATGAGGAAAGGCAGGAAGGAAGGAAGGGAGGAACAAAAAAAAGAAGGCAAAGAGAAGGAAGAAAAAAGGAAGGAAGGGAGGGAGGAAGGAAGAAAAGAGGGAAGAAGGATGAATAAAAGAAAAGAAGGAAGGAGAGAGGGAAGGAAGGAGGAAAGGAGAGAGGAAGGCAGGGAGGTGGGCCATCTTATGCCAAGGCAGGCGTGACAACGGGAGCCCTCCCAGGCCTTGGATCCAGATGGAGGAAGAACATCCCACGCACATCCAACATCCATCCTGGGAAGGGGGCTGCTCTCCGTGGGCCTCCACTGCTCCTGACCCTGGGATTCTGTGGAGCCAGCCCAGGCAAGTTCTGCGTGACCCTGACAGGCCAGCCCCTCCCCAGGGCCAGGGCCACAACTGGCTGTCAGCCTCCTCCCTCGTGGCCCTCCCCATGCTGTTGAGCTGTGGAAAGACGGCTTCACAAGGATCTGCTGTCTCATACATCACCCATGCTGTGCCCCCAAGCTGCTTGATTATTTGGTGGAGACTGCACTTGGGGTTTGTACAGAGATGAACCAGGAGGGTTCCTGGGAGCTTCAGGGTGCAGCGTGGGAGGATATGTGTTTCCCATGTGATGCTGACAGCCTATTCTTGTGACGAGGGGGGCCTGTGTGTGAGCACATGTGTTCATGCTTGTGTCCATGTGGGTTTCAGCCTCCGTGCTTAGGGGAGTAAGCACCAGGAAAGGGCAGCCCCCTCCTCCCACAGCATAGGTCATTCTGGAAATGAGAACCTCCCTACATTCCCTCCACTAGAGTTGGAGGGCCTGCAGGACATCACAGGCAGCCCCCCATTCCTCTCCATCTCCCCTCACACACAGAGGCCCCAGGAGGTGTGGATCACGGAGCCCGCGGCTGGGGTGGGGGAGGGGCACGGGGCCATCTGGTGTGTTCTGTTCCCACAATCTGCTAATGGAGCCACTTCCCAGGCTGGCATCCAGTCAAGGCTGCCCGGAGAGAGAGTGCCACTCACAAGTTCATCACCGCCCTCCCTGGGGAGACCAGCTAGGCAAGAAGCAAACCTATTCCCCAGGTGCAGAGTCAGAGGCCCAGATGCACCTGCTACCTCAACCCCACCAGCCCACATCACTCGTTACTGGGACAGCACGTGTACACTGAGCACCTCCTGTGGAGCAGGCGAGGTGCAGGCCAGCTCATTCGATCTTCCCAGTAATGCAGGACGCATCCATTTCACAGATGTGGAAGTGGAGGGTGTGTGTGGGGGGTTATGTAACATGCACACGGCGAAGCAGCTGCTAAATAAAAGCTAGAGCTTAATCTGCACCCAGGTCCACCTGACCCCCCTGTGTTTGGCCCACTGAGTTTCAGGCCAGACCCTGACAGAATGCTGGGACCGCAAGCGGGGTGGAGGTGGGGAGCAGCCCAGGGTGAGGCCTTGAATATGAGACCTCTCCATTTATGCATCCTCAGGCCTCATCCAGGACAACGGGGGTCTCCTGGGGGGGGGGCTGAAGCACCCACCTCCCACCCTCCACAGGGCCAGCCTCGGATCTCTGCCACTGGGCTGGGCCTGCACCCCTCCCTTTGCGGTGACAGCACTCTCTGCAAACGCCTTGACAGTGCCTTTGTTCCCCCGAAATAAAAGAAAATCGAGCTACAAAGAGAAACCTCAGGTAGCTTTTAGCGGGGCTCAGCTGCCTGGGGCATAGTGTGTTTAAGCTAGAGGCAGTTGTCACTGCAGTAGAAGGGGGAGCTGCCCGCGGTCCCCCTCCCGTCCCCTTCTGAGGGGGGGGAGGGGCGCCCAGGATCGCGTTCACTCCAGGAAAAGGCTCTTTCAAATAGTGGCAAAGAGAAAATCAATGAAAATTGATAGAGAAATGGAAAGCAGCTGTCGGCCGTGTGTCTGCGTGCGTGTCTGTGTGTCTGTGTGTCTGTGTCTCGGCAGTGGGCACGGCCACGGCAGAAGCTGCTGCCCAGACCCAGTGTGACCCGCTTGGGCTCAAGGCCTGGGAGGGCGGGGGCTGGGAGTCAGCGCCCGGCACGTGCGACTGGGGGAGGGGCAGCAGCGAGTCTAACTCGAGTTAAGAGAGAGATTAATATATTCAATCTGCTCCGGGGTAATTGAGGGAACAATTGCAGTGTTTTTCTTCGGCCCATAAAACTGCCTCATTTGCAAAGAGGAGCTGCCTGGCTGCAGGTCTAGTTTGATGGAAGCGGGAAAGACGGAGGGCGGGGAGGGTGCTTCCCAGTCCGAGGCAGGGTCTGGCAGTCCTGGTCTAGCCTGGTCTCACCTTCCTCCCCTTGCCACTTGGGAGGGTAGCACCCCCTGCATTGCCTTCCAGCAGGGCAGTCTCCCCACCTGGGACTTGCCCAGGCCCCTACATCCCTTTCGCCTAGGACCCTGGAAGAGAGCAGCTAAGACTGGGAAAGCTTCGTGTCCTGCGGGCTGGCACCCAGAGGAAGAGGCATGGACCTTGAGGGGCCCAGCTCTCCAGCCAGGCCAGCGCCCCTGGGATTCGACAGGCGGTAAAGAGTGAAGTTAATGAAATCTGCCTTGTGTGTCTCTCCCAGCTTGAACCACTCCAGTCTCCAGGGCAATGGAAATAGCATATGCAAAAGCCAGCAATAAAAGGCATAATGAATTTAAAAGCAGGGCGAAGAGAGGAGTGGAGACCCTCAATGCTCCAGCCCAAGGCCCAGTGTGCCTGGGGCATGGAGAGGCAGCCGGGAACTCCAGCCTGGATTGGGAGGGGAGGGGAGGGGCAAAATGGGGCAGGGGAGAGGGAGCGCAGAGGGGATGCCAGGCAAGGCACTAACAGCTCCTGACTGCCTGCTCCCTGTTCCCTTCCACTTGTCCTTAATAAAAGCCCCCAGCCTGGCGGTGACAAACCCACCTTCAGAAACCAGAGGCTTGGAGCCAGGTGCTCCGCATTTGATGATTGCTTTATTAGCTTTTCCTCTCTTTCTTTCCCCCTCCAGGGCAAGAAGAAAAAAAGGTGTTTTAAATGGAAGGAATTAAAAAAAAAAAACACTTTAAAAGCACCATTTGAAAAGCTCCTGGGAAACTGAATCGTTCACAGGAAACAAAACTGGGATTGTTTGGAAGGGGGGGAGCACCACGCCCTCCTCCTCTTCCCTCTCCTGCCTGGGATCTGAGTGCTGGGCTGTGTGGGAGGGAATCCCAGGACGGCTCCCAGAGCCACAAGCAGGGAATACGTTCTTGTTTTCAGCAATTTCATCCCTGGGGATTTCCAGCCCGAAATTTCCCTCTTAAACAGCGCTTCCAGGGGGAAGTCGTCCTTGACCTTTAGGAGGCAGGCAGAGAAGTCTGGGAACCCGGGGGCCTCTAAGAAACATTTGTCCTCGGAGGTCAGCAGATCATCCTCAGGGCCCCTTGCCCAGGCTTTGCCCAGTACCTTCCTGTTCTCCTTGCCCAGTGCTGGATAGGCTGCTCTCCGAGAGTCTGATAACTTCCTGACCCTGGGCAATGGGGCGGGGGTGCTGGGGTGGCCTGCCATCTGGTCCCAATGCTGCTAAGAGGGTGTGGGCTGAGTTGGGGAGCCTTTGGAGTGACCTCCATCCCAGAGGCTGTAACTGTCCATGCTAGAACATTTGTGGGGACAGTCCCTTCTTAATCATCACCCCCAAAAAGATTTGCTCAGAGTAAGTGATCCATTTCCAGAGGCTCCCGGATCCAGGGAATGCTGGGGGCAGTGTTAGTGAGGTCATCTAGGGCCATGTTACCTGTGGGCCATGGCTGAGAAGAAAACCATTCAGATTCCAAGATGATCTTGAAATTCATACAGAGCCCTACCCTGGTTACACACACAGCCCTGTCTCTGCCATGGCTCATTCCTGAGCAAGCTGATCTTTGCACCCCAATCCCCTGCCTTCCACCACCCCATATCCCACACCATGACCTCCATCAGTTCTGGTGGGAAAAAAAAATGAGACACTATGCAAATTAGGGGACAACTTGGGAGCTTATAATAAAGATCTCAATTGAATAGATTCAACTGTTGAGATATCTGATCCATAGCTTAGAAGGGGTGAAATTCATGCTGGGAAAACTTACTGAAAGAGGTGGCCCTGAATTTAGACATTTGTGTCTGGAGCCCAGAAACCCATTCTTGGACTTGAACTGAGTATTGCTGAGGCTAGGCTATATCTCCCGTCCTCTGGATTATTCCTACAGCTACCAGTCACCACCCTAACTCCTACACTACCCCCTTCTCCCCCTCTTTGAGAACCAAATAGTGAGGGGAAGTCCTCCCCTCAGGGGCTTCCTGGCCCAGATTCACAAAGGAAGAGCAGGATGGTTTCAAGGGTCCCTGTGGTTCTGGGTCAGTTCCACTTCCCAAGGTCCAAAGGACAAGGAGGGCCCACTGAGTCTGGTCTTGCTGTCCTTCTGGCTGTGTCTGAGCCTTCAGCAGCAACACAGAAAGGCAGAACCAGAACCGGAATCGGAGCTGCCCTACCAAGTTCCCTGGCTGAAAGTACAGCCCTGTTCTCGGGACCTTCCATTGTCTGCTCCCATCTCGGGGCTATGATTGCTGACCCCCTGGAGGGGGCAATTTTCTTCTCCCTGGAAAGCCATTTTGTTGTCTTGGTAGAAGCAGACATCTGACACTTGAACAGGGAGTATGGTGCAGAGATGATGGCTTTAAATAACAGAAATTAGAGCTGCCGGGCTGCCGCAGCCATCTCACCAGCCCCTTCCCTGGATCAGTCCCCTCCTCCCACCTCCCACTGCAAACTGCAGCCTGAAACATGCAGCTTGGGTGGCCAGGCCATGCCAGGACCTGCTGAATAGGGAACATCTTGTCCTCCAGCTCTGAGCTTCCTGCGTTCCTGGTCCTATGATAAACCATAGAACAGTGGGGCCAGGGGCCAGGCTCTGAAGTCAGGGAGCTTGGAGGGACTAGGATGTCACAGAGGAGCCCAGGTGACACCCATCTTATTCTATAAGCTCTGCATGGGAGGGATAAAAAGCGTGTTGATTGATGAGTGTGTTATGGATGAATGATCAGAGGCCAAAGTGGGCCATAGGGATAAGTTGGGGACCCCAGAAGAGGATCTGTCCCTGGGTCTCTAGCACAGGCCACCTGCTCTCTCTGGCTGCACCCCACCTCCCATCTTGGCTTTCTTCCTGAATGAAGTACTCCCTCTGCCCCTCTGCCCTGTACCCTGGGCCCTGCTGGGAAGAGAGGCCCCACAGGAGCCCTGTCCCCATCCTACCTATGGGTGGCAAATATTTACCCTTTAAGCCGATGGCACCCTGAGCTTAGGGGCTGACCCTGCTGTAGGTTCCTATTGTGCACGGAGGTCCCCAGAAAATGTTGGTGCTGCATGGACTCAAGCACCCGTGAGCCTCAGAGCCCACTTGCTCTCCCTGCTTCTCCCTGCTGGGTGTGAGGCCCAGTGGGGTCCCTGCCTGGCTGCGGAACACAGCCAAGGTAGGGACCCTCCTGCAGCTCAGATGAGGACTGACCCCCTTACCTGCGGCTGCAGGGGTGCCGGTTCTGGGCTGAGCCCCTGCTGGTCACCATGGGGGCTGGATGGGCTTGAGGGCAGGCACCCAACGGAGACCTCTGTACTGTGCTCACTCAGAGCCTCCTTGGGAATCTGCTGAGAATGGATACAATTGAGGCTGGGGACTGTAGGGTCTCAGGGGGCACTCAACCCCTGAGCCAAAATATTCCTGCCCACATGTGTCCCTGCTCCATGGGCTTTTGGCCCTTTTTTGGAGGGGAGATATTAATTTGTTTGTTAATTTTTTGAGACAAAGTCTCACTATGTAGCCCAAGCTGGCCTCAAACTCATGGTGATCCTCCTGCCTCTTGAGTGCTGGAATTACAGGCATGCACCACCATGTCCAGCTTGATATTGCATTAGGGATTGAACTCAGGGCCTTCATGTACTGACCTAACCCTTTTTAATTTTGTACTTTCTTTTGAGATAGGATCTCTCACAGAGTTGCTAAGTTCCCCAGACTGGGCTTGAACTTGTGATCGTCCTGCCTCAGCCTCCCAGAGGGCTTTGTTCCATTTTTTTGGTTGCTTTAGACCAGGATTTCCAAGTCCATCCTCAGAAAACAGGCCTCCCAGAGGGAAGGTGCATTGTCTTATTCGGTGAGGGACTAGGGTCATCAGGCTTATTGGAAAGGTTGTGACTTGGGTCTGGGGCACCTGGCACCTGAGCAGGGACTCCAGGAACACCCACCTGCAGCTGGGGGGATCTCAGGCCCCGGTGCACATGGAAGGCCACCTTGTAGGCCAGGCCCCCACAGTGGCGGGCCGTGGGGTCTGGGCCAGCCCGGAGCAGAGCCAGCCTGCCGTTGTAGCTGTACAGGTCCTCGTGCTCATGCGCCTCGAGGTTCATGGGGGGCTGTTCAGGCCGTGGGTAGATGGGGAAGATGGCCTGACCCACACACAGCTGGCCTGCTGCTCCGCTCAGCCGCAGGGCCTCCACACGCAGCTGGGCATCATGCTGCCCGTCATTCTTGCAGAAGCCTGTGTGGGGGATGAGCTCAGATAGGGGGTCATCCTGACTCACCCACAGGGCGAGAGGGACAGGCAGGGCCCTGGGGCAACTGCGCTGCTTGGTTTTGGGGACTAGGGGATGGACCCGCTCTCCACCCCTGCCATGGCTCCCTCCATTACCCATGTGTGGTACAAGCCCACTGGAGTGAGGAGGGGGCACCGAGCCTATGGGTCGCCCCCCACCCTGTACCGGACTTCAGTCTACCCATGACTTCTGGCCACTAGGGCCTGGGACTTCTCCATTTTCCCCACCCCCAAGGCTGCCTGGAGGGGCCTCACAGTCTTGGCTCCCTGCCCCTGCTGAAGGTTCCCACCTCTCTACCTGTCTGGAAGCTCCTGGCAGGGACACCTTGGTGTTCTTGTCTCTGTCCTCCTACCATGGGCACTCAGGGCTGGTTCTAGTGCTACTTGGTGTCTCATCCGCTGCCCACGACTGCTCCAAGCCTGCTATGGGCTCAGTTCTTTGCAGTTCTCATCTGCCCTCCCCTTCCCTCCTCTCCTGACCCTGTGTGACCAGAACTAGTGTCCCTGTGTCCCACTAAGGAGGCAGGGCTCATGGAAGTTGCCCAGGGTCATGCAGGCAGAGTTATGGGATTCAGTTCCCAGCTCTGCCCCGTCTCTCCCTGTTCCTGAGGCTCCTCAGAATCCCCAACCTGGGCTGGGGCAGAGATTTTGGGGATCTTCTCTCCAGCATCTGCGGCTCCACCCCATTTTGTACCTTTGGGTAAAGTAAAGACGAACTTGTTCCTGGTGAGGGTGAGGCTCTGCCCAGGATCCCGCTGCTCAATGACATCTGTGACAGCAGAGCAGGCCAGGAGGGGGTCCCCATTGTTCACCCGCAACTGCACCCCTGTCCCAGAGCCTGTCTGCAGGGGGTTCTCAGCAGACAGCCGCAGAGTGTATCTGCCCTCCTCGTTGAACGCCACACTCAGGACCTCAAACTCCAGATCCAGGGTCTTCTCCTCGGCCTTCAGCCTCTGGCTGAGCAGGGACGAAGGGAGCCAGGGCTCAGGCCCCCTAAAGGCCATGGTCATGAGCAGTGGCCAAGCCCAGGCTGAGCACTGCCGCCTCCTGCCACAGCTCCAGCCTGGGTGAGTCCGAAAGCCTGCAGGCTGGCTGCTCCACCGTTTGTTTGCAGAGAAACCAGGTAACAAGCCAGGAAGCTGGGCCTGACACACCTGGAGAGCAAAGGCGGGCACTAGCCTCACCGTTTTAGCATTTGTTCCATTAACAGATATTTATTGAGCACTTACTCTGTGTGTGGCATTATTTTAGACATTTGGAATATAGCAGTGAATTGAAAGTTTTTGCCTTCCTGAGAAAACTTATTTTCTAGTGGGAGAGGCACGTGAAGAAGACAAAATGAACATGAAATATGGAAAATAAGTAACTTATGACCTGTGCTGGAAGATGTTAAATTCCAATGTTTAGAGCAGGAAAGCAGGGGCTGGTGGTGAATGCCTGTGATCCCAGTATGTGGGAGGCTGAGGCAGGAGGATCACAAGTTCAAGCCCAGCCTGGGCTACATAGTGAGACCTTGTCTCAAACAAAACAAGTTAGAGCAGGGTCAGAGAAGAGTGGCACATGGTCTGTGGCAGTCAGAGCGTCCCGTTTCTGTGGAGCCCATCTCCCGGTGCCGTGCCCTTCGTCCTCAAGAGTTCTTATCCTGAGTTTGGCGGACCATGGGGAGGGGCCCTCCGCACCCGCCTGTGCAGCCAGGTCACAGTCTGGACCAGCACTCACAGCATGGGACCCAGCTCAGTGCGACCTCACAGGCAGTGCAGAACCTCTCACATCAAAGAGTTGCTGAGCTGGAGTCGTCCTCCCTGACCCGGGTCTTGCTGATACCCAGTGGGAGTTGGGAGATTCTGGATACTCCTCAGTAAGGACTGTCTGCTCCCACTGCCACTGTCACTACTGCCACCACCACTGTCGTCACCACCCCCATCAGCACTATCACCAGCATTACCACTTCTACCACCATCACCCTCACCCTCACCACCACCACCACCTCCATTATCATTGTCATTGGCAATGTCATCTTCAGCATCATTAATGTGACTTCTCATTAAGTAGCTTCTGGGCACCAGGCATTCTGCGTGGCTCTGTGAGGCAGGCATAATTATTTCCTATTTCACAGATGGAGAACGGGACGCTGAAAGAATTAAACTTCTCCCAGCTCACGTGGCTAGTAAGTAAGAACTGAGATGGGAATCTAGGTATTCTGTCTGTACTTGCCCCTACTAAACATGCACTGGGACCAGCTGAAAGAGATGAACTCATTCTCTTATGGAATTTTATACCACCAAGGCAGAAGGGCGCTCCTGAGCCTGAAGAGAACACTTATATACAGCATTAATTGCATTATAAAAAGTTCACTTGGAGCTGTCTTGGCCAGGAGGTACCATTTCCATAAAGGGGAGATGCCAGTCTAAAGATGGCATTGGCTAGCCCAGCTGAGGGTCTCAGTGTATGCAGCAGGCTGCCTTTGCAATGAATGAAACTCAATATCTTTGAGTTCCCTGAGGGGTAACTGAGTTCTTGACCTGTAGGTGAAATTCAACTGATCCCATCTCTCTGGATGCCTGGGCCCTCTTCTGTACACTGGATGGGAGTGGGGTAGGTAAATCAGCCCTCAGCTCAGTGGTCTGAAACTCTAAGGCACACTGGGAAGGGCCACAGGATGGGTGTGACAGGGAGAGGATGGGTGGCTGAGGCTGCCTGGAAACCACTGACCCTACAGCCGTGCTTGGCTAGCCATGCCTGTGGACATCATGATGAGGGGGAGCAGCGCTTTTCCCTTGCTTGTATGAAGAGACCCCTAGAGATGTTGCAACATGGGCATCCGGTCCTTCTGACCCAGGGGCAACCTCTGCACCCTAGCCCCATGCCCTGCAAGCCAGGACCATGTGCAGAGTCTTCTTTCCCCAGTATGTGTCCCTGAGTTCCCTCTCCACCAGCCGCCCCCCGTTTTCTACCAGGTCTTGGAGGTGGCTGTATCAGCCTGAGCATGATTTAGCGCCCTCTACCATCTGGCATCCACCCCCTGTTTCCCACCCTGTCTCCAGGGAAGGCTGACCTTTTTTGGTATGTGTATATAGTTACTTAAAAAAAAACAACAAAACTATGGTAAAATAGCATAATATAAAATTTACCCCCAACCAAATGTGCAGTTTAGTAATGCTAAGTACATTCACCTTGTACAGCTAATCTCCAGAACTCTTTCCATCTCGTAAAGTAGAAACTGTACCGGTTAGACAACAGCTCCCCCCTCCCTGCCCCCAGCCCTGGGAGCGGCCCTTCTATTCTCCTCTTGGAATCTGACTGCTCGGGGCACTCACGTGAGTGGAACCCTGCAGCATGTGTCCTTTTGTGACTGGCTCCTTTCGAGAAGCAGAGTGTCCTGGGGAAGGACGGTTGCCCAGGCCAGGCTGCCCTTTCCCCCTCCTGCTCTTGCTGCTGTTGTACTCTCTGCCTACACTGCCCAGAGCCCCCCAAGGCAGCTCTGGTCCTCCTGCAGACTGGTAAGCATGGCCTTCTACCCAGGCATGACTCTGCCTTTCCTCTCCTGTCCCCAGTGATGACTTGTGCTTGCTGGATGGAATATTCCTTCAGGACGGGGCTAGGCAGGGGATGGATGCCTGAGGATGGTTGAAGAGTGGAGGGATGGGTGGGTGGGTGGATGGGGTGATGAACAGAAGGATATATGCATTAATATACAAACCCAACTGAGCTTCTGCTTGTGGCCATTTCATGAGGTTTCCATCCATGAGAAGCAAAGACCATTCTGGGCTTTTGAGTCAAACTTGGCCTCAGAGATGCATCAGGTGCCCTGGTGGTCCAGCTGGTGCCCAGGAGGGAGGACAGTGGTGAGGGGGTGAGCAGTAGGGCAGGAGGCAGGGGCTGCTGATGCTTGGGCTCCCCTAGACCTGGCCTCAGTTCTACAGAGAAAGTCTGGCACCATGAGGGAATGTTAGCATGCTGGGGCTGGCGGAACCCCACTTTATAGCTGGGGAAACTGAGGCTGGTGGTGCATGGCAGGACAGTTCCCTGCCTCTACCCCAGGCTTCTCTCCATTCCTAGCTACCTCCCTGGGTGAGCCTCCAGCAGCTCTTGAGGGGTCTGGGCTCCAGGCAAGGCTATCACTGGGGGGCAGGGATAGGAGGTAGGGGAGGCAGCCCTAAAAGAATGATTTCCAAGCCACCTCTGCCACCCAGCATGGGAGACATCATGGGGCCTTGGACTCCTCTCTCTCTTTGGCATAAAAGCAACCACTTGAGTTCTGGCTTTGTTTGGAGGAGCCTGGGCCTGTAATTAGCCCCCCAGTGGGGGGGCCCTCTTTTTCTGTTCCCACAATGGCTCTTTTCAACCTCCTTTGGTGCCACCTCAAGGGCTCCTGGGGCTCTTAGACCCTGGTGCCCAAGGACCCACCTCCCACTCTTGGCCTGGCCTCTCTGAGCTGAGTCCTCCCAGCAAGCTGGACATCAGTGAATCCTATGGGTGAGACTTACCTGGGCTGCGACCTTGCCCCTTCCACAAGGAGGAAGCGGCCTCCAGAGGTCAGGTGGGTGGGGAGAGTGGACTTGGGGCCACCGCCGCTCTGCTGGGTCTGCAGTCCCCAGCCCCTCTGCAGCGTCTCTGCCCTCAGGCCCCACCTCTCTCTTTAGGGCTGAGGGTCACAGGTTAGTGGGTGACCTCAGCCTGAGGCTGGCAGAGTGAGGCATGGTGCCTCTGTCTCCACTGCAAAGATGGGAAATCGTGGCTGGGACCCTGGAAGGTCTGTTTGAGCCACTTGGCTACTAAGGGACAAGGACAAAGTTAGAGACTTGGGCTCTTCTTCCCTCCACAGAGTCCCTGGCCACAGGAGACTGTCCTCAAAGAGACAATCGTGATCCTGCTTGGGCCTCTGGGAAGCCCTCTTGCTCTGGCTCAGCTGGGTACAGCTGCAGGAGGGGCCAGGGCTACATGGGGATCCCCATGCTCCCCTGCCAGCCTGGTTCCCAGGGGCTAAAGTTCTTGGGCGGGGGGGTGGGGGGAGCGTATCTGCAGTGTCAGCCATACTGGCCTTGGTGTTCATGCACCAGATGACCTCCCGGGCAGGCTCCCGGCACTCAACTAGCTGGGGAGGCCACCCTGGGGCTCTGACACCAGTACCAGCTGTCCTGCAGCACCACTGGGGACAGACAAGCAGGTAAGGGGCAGCAGGAGCAGAGCTAATAGGGCCACCCTGTCAGCCCAAGCCGGCTGGGGATCAGACTGAAGTGGAGCAGGAGCCAGCCTGGAAAAGGTACTGCCTGAAACTGTTAGGAGGACAACAAACTTCATAGCCGGGAGGGGGGGGGGGACAAAAAGGAAAAGATGACAAAGTTAGACAGAGAAAGAGATAGAGGCTTAACCTGGCAGCACACACTTGTAATCTCAGCACCCTGGGAGACTGAAGCAGGAGGGCTGCAGCTTCAGTCCAGCCTGGGCAATTGAGCTAGACCCTGTCTCAAAATAAAAATTTTAAAAAGGGCTGGGAATACACCTTAGTGTGAAGGCCCTGGGTTCATTTCCTGGTACTGAAAAGAAAAGAAGACTGGGGATTTAGCTCAGTGGTGCGGACACCTGCCTTGCAAGTGCAAGGTCTTGAGTTTGATCTCTGGTACCAGAAAAAGAAAAAGAAAGAAAGAAAAGGGAAAAAAAGAGGCAGAAATAAGGTAGGCTGTCTGGGTGAGACAGAAGGGGTGACAATAATGGCGATAGAAAGAGACTGGTGGACAGGGCAGACAGACAGAAGGACAGTGAGATAGAACGAAGCCCAAGAGGGGAGTGGACAGAGGCCGACAGCGGACACCTGTGCTGAGGAGTGTCCTTCCACCTGCTGTTTGGATTAACCAATTTGGGGGTTGCCCTCCAGCCCTGAGAGGTCTCCCCACCACAGAGCAGAGCAGAGTCCACGCTCTAGGAAGGGAGGTTCCTGGGGAGAGAGCAGTGAGCTGTGTGATAGACCTGGGGGATCTCTGGCCAAACTTCCCACTCAGCCGCTGCTGACCCTGGAACCTAGTGATCTCCTTGCGCTTAGGTTTCTTGCGGCTGTGTCTGAGTACTGGGTACAGTGGGAGTCCCTGAGTCTCCTTCTACTTCCTTTTTCTATCTCCCCAGCCAATACTTAGTCTCAAGCTTGCACTAACTTTAAGGGAGGCTGGGGGGTAAGCAAGACTGGGCTAAGAGTAGAATCTACTTACACAGTCCAGTGGTGCCTTACATCAGTCTTCACTGCAGCCTTACAATTTCCTTTTGCTTATTAAAAACAATTACACAGGGCTGGGGATTTAGCTCAGTGGTTCCACCGCCTGCTTCGCAAGCATAAGGTCCCGAGTTTGATCCCCAGTACCCCCAAAATGAAACAGACAAAAAAAAAAAAACAATTACATAGGCAACACAAAGTTTCCAACACATGAATATCTCCCTTCTTTTCCCTCCTCTCCCGCAGTGTGATGCTGTGAACTGTTTGCTGTTTGCCTACTAGGTTCACCTTCTCTGTCTGTACACACATCTGCCTAGTTCAAGAAGTGTGAGATGAGATCACAATGTCTGAATTATCCCACCACGGGCTTCCTGGGCTACTATGCTTGGCCAGTGTCCAGGGAGTTCCACTATAGCCAGGAAGTTCTGCCATATCCGGAAGTTCTTTACCACGTAAGCCATCAAAACCAATTGTGATGGCTGCTGGGCTTACTGCCAGTCTTTTTGCCATAAATAAATAGTTTTGGGCATCTTGTCTGCATATCTACTTAGGTCTTTCTTTTTTCTTTTGTTTTGTTTTGGTTTGGTTTTTTGAGACAGGGTGTTGCTATGTAGTTCAGGCTGGCCTTGAACTCTTGATGATCCTCCTGCCTCAGCCTGGTAAGTTCCAGGATTCCAGGTGTGTGTCCCTATGCCTGACCACCAAAGTCTTTCCTGATGGGTTCCTCCAACTGAACCTAATGTTAATTCTGTGAGGGTTTAATCCTTCCTACCTGCAAGCAGTTCTTCTCCATGGAGAATATGATGCTCAGGTCCAAGCTGGGGGCAGGTTAGTTTCTCCACCTGGGCTTGGGATCCCTCCTGCTCCTCCTGGGATCCCTGGGTTCCGTGGGCTGCTCTTTGATCATGGGCTGCTGTTTGATGGACTGCGCCTCAGCCTGTTTGGTTCAAAGAGGCAGGGGT